AACGGAATAGAGCTCAGGCCGGTGGATGGCCTCGGGAAGGGGTCGACAGGCCTCTTCGGCGTGTTACAGGCCAGTGGATGGCCTTGGGAGGGGGGGCAGGTCATTATCTCTGTTCACCAGAGATAACGACAGCCCTGGAGCTCTGTGCGCGTCATTATTTCTGGCAACCAGAGATAATGGCACTCAGGGGACCTCGCGGAGGCATTTTGGGCCCAAAACGTAACACGGCCGTGTTACAAAAAGTATATTAATAGGCACGTGCGGATGGGCGGCTGGCAGGGCGGGCGCAGGCTGGCGGGCGCCCCGCAAGATATTCGAATTTCCTGGGATTTAAATTTCGGGCCCATTCCTCGCGGCCCGCGCAGCTCGGTCAGTTTTCGTCCGTTTTTCACTTTTCCACGTGACACGGATAGCCCTCGACGGGCGCTCTCGAGGGGTGTGGCGCGCGTGACGGAAAAGTGCGTCACGGTCACGGAAACAGGCGGCCAGCACCGTGGGACCATTCAGGTCGAGCGCGGGCAACGGAATAGAGCTAGGGTGGGTGTTTCATGGGGATACCTACCTGAGCTTCGTGTCTCTTTTTTTCTCATCATTCTTCTCTGCATAGACACCTGAGCGCGGGGTTCGGGAGCGTGGTCCTTCACCAGGCCTGTCCTCGGTGCTATTCGCGAAACGGGAAACAAGCATCGTGAGCCGCAAGCAAGAGGATCCTCTTGCTTGTTGGTTGCTGCTCTCTCCATCACAGTTTCATCAATGCAAATGCGGGTGGCTTAGCCGCTCGCATTCATGGGTTTCTGTTCACACCCTACACTGACGTCAACATCGCCACTCCGTCTCGATCCATTGGCCGAATCCCAGGAACACGGCAACATACGAAGATACGGGGAAAGGGAGAGGCTGGACCTGTTAGGATGGGTGATTCATGGGGATACCTACGTGAGGTCCGTGTCTCGTCATTGATTCTGCTCCACAGAGACACTGGAGCATGGGGTGCAGGAGCGCGGTCCTTCATCGCGCTCCTTCACTGTGCTTGTCTTCGCTGCTAGTCGAGAAATGGGAAATGGGAAACGAGCAGCTAGGCCGCTCGTGGGTGGTCCATTCTGCACGTACTCAATCCTACATCCCAGCCCTGCCCAATCCTATGTCCCAGCCCTACTCAATCCTACATCCCAGCCCTGCCCAATCCTACATCCCAGCCCTACTCAATCCTACATCCCAGCCCTACTCAATCCTACGTCCCAGCCCTACCTACAACAGGTTTCCAAACCTACTCGAAACCTACCTCCCAAACAAACGTCCCCATAACCCTAAATCGCGTGCAGGGCGTCTTGATCTCATCCTCTCTCACCGTCTGGCACCGAACCACGCCAGAGTTAGAACTTAGACGATATAAGACCTGAATCCGAATATACCGAAGACGAGGATGTGAGACAAGGGGGGGAATAGGCTGAGCACGGCGCATGCTATCCGCTGCTGCTAAACCTAGCTTGCTTTCCAAAGCTATCTAAGGTCGTCAGCTCTCATCCTCAAGTCGCAGATTCGAACGAGGGACAATCGACGACACAAAATGCGTTGGGCGCGATATCGAGGTATGTTCGTGGTAGAAACCCTATATGACTCCTCATTCTCGACCCCTTCACAGCTTTCACGGATTCTCGTCGACGATACTCACCAACATCGACCAAGAACAATTCACGCCGCTGGAAACAGCTTCGGCGAACAGAGGCGAAGCGTACGACCAGATGATACGTGGATTTGAGTTGAAATGAGGGTGGCAACGTGTGCGGTTGTGGTTGTGGGAGTTGGCCACGAGTATGTCTTTGGCGAAGACGAACTGGAAAAGACCCCGCAGTGAGTGATACCTTCGTACGCGATAAACAGTATTTCTTACCTTCCGTTTTCCACGACCGCTAGTGGACCTAGAAGTACGGCCCCTCACAACTAGGAAGGACGCATCGCGAAGATTGAGTCAAGATCGGGCAGCAGTACAGAGCGTCGAGGTCGATGTTGAGCTTGATCTGCGTGGCGGGCTAGTGATGGCCCGAAGTAAATGTTCCCTCGATTTTCACGAACACACGAGTTCTTACCCTGCCTTTCTAGCCCGTCTTCCTCAACGTCGGTTGCTACCTCCTGAATGGGAGGTTCATATCATTTTCGTCTACTTGGGGTGGCGAGTACTTACTAGCACCTGTCGTCTCTTCCGCAGCACGTTTGCGACGACAACTCGAAGGACAGATGGCGAGAAACTGGCGTTAAGACAATCTGAAAGAGTCAGCGGCGTAGACTTTCTTGACAAAGATGATCCGGGATGGACATTGGAGTGAGGGGTGAGTGTTTACATTAGACGATGAAGCAGGTTTCTTACCTCTCATTTTCAAGTTTTTAGAGGCCGGAGATGGATTGGTGGCGAGCATAACCAGTCAAATGCGGAGGGCACCAGTCGAATTATAATCGAGTCCTGCATTCCGGATGGCGAGACGATCTAGGTAAGCATCCATCGTCATTTACGTTCGCGCACAAGCCATTACTGTGCTCTCCTAGCCTTTATTCGTCGACGTTGGCCGCACTTAGACAATCGAAACGACGCTTCGATTATGGCAAGTGTCTTCTCGCCTACATACCCCTCCTCATCCTATACATCATTGTGGCTGTTGAGGAAACTCGGTTATGTAGAAGAGTGGTCATTAGCCTCTTGACACTGCCCCATGTTCCCAAACACGATTTTAGATTGGCTTGGGCAACTCGACGAAGGTATAATGACGCCATGCACACTCCGCTGTAATTACTCTGCCGCGAAGGTAAGTGCCTCTTTCTGTTCGCGTCCACAGCGATTGACTCGAAAAATAGGCTTCGTGAAGGCGCGCTTTGAAATTTCAACACTGCCTGAGCATGAAGGTTCCCGGGTTCTTGTCCTGCATGTATTTCGAGCACTCTATCGTCGCCCGTTCACAGTGGCAGAACGCATCCCTTAAGGCACGACGTCGAGCTTGCTTCACGTTTAGTGCATCTTATGTATATATAATATGAACAATATTTCTTTCTACTACGCTCCCGTGCAACCGTCGGTGTCAAGCGCTCAACTTTCTACGTCGGCCTCCTACTATGTATTATTCTGAGTGCTTCCTCTTTGCATGTTATCTTTCCATCCCGCTAATCTCGACTGTCAAGGAACCTCGAAGACTGCTCCCGCGCGGCATGTAATTATAGCGCTCGATGTCCCATGATCCCGCCCCACCGGTGAAGAAGTCAGAAGTATGTACGTATATTCGTCTCTTCTACGAAGGGAACCTCGCATTCGAGCGAACCCAAGCCCTATGATTCGGCCTCCGGACTTTCCCCAACCCTTCTCGTCGACCTATCAACCCTTTCACCTTCCACTCCTCAGCCACATGCTCCTTTCTCTCTTTTCTACGTTCCCTAGCTTCTCGGAGGTGCGAAAGAGGAATAGGCCCCCTTGCAGGGCCGACGGTCATTGGTTCTTAAAGCCTAGCTTGCCGAAGTGGGCGAGGGGCATTTCGAATCGAAGGCACCGCCGGTCTCGGCTTCCCACCTCATACCCTAACTTTCGGGCTCTGGTGGTGATTCGTTAGACTCCATTTTAAACGGTGGTTAATTCAGAAAGCGAGAGGGACAGCGAGTGGTGTGAATAATTAAATAATATAGGTGTGCTCGTGTATGTCGAGGTTGTGTATTCTGTCCGTCTCCCCACTCGTTCCTTTCGTTTTCGTTTCTTTTCATCGATTCGCATGGCAGCTGTCGACATCCCAAAGTCGTTCGGAGCGCTGCTCATAGGAGGTCTTTATGCGTCCTTGTGAGTGGTAAATTTCTGTTGTTATGTGCCTCGTTTCACAACAGTCTTTACAGACTCTCCGGTCTCGTCGCCGTCCAAGTTGTCGTCTACCTCAAGATCTTCCCCAGCGACCCGCCGCGAGTGAAGGCTCTAGTACGCGACCTCCTCATGTGCGTTCGGTCCTCACTAACAATTCGGTCTTCAGGTCCTCGTCGTATGGTATGCCCACCGACTTTACCATTCATTCATTCGTTGACTCAGTGGGAGTCTCCCTCGACTATCAATCCTATAGGCTCCTTGACGCATGCCACACGGGTTTTATCTGGTCGGCGCTCTGGAGTTACCTGGTAGACAACTACGCAGATGTTGAGGGTATAGACATCATCCATTGGTGAGTTCTTCGGACAGTCTGGTCCTCATGTCCCTCGAATCCCGAGTCTAATCTTTATTCCTGGATGCAGGAACATCGCGGTACGCCTCACTTTTTTCACCTCTCAAGCTCAGCATCATTCAACGGCAATCTTTCCTTCCTGAAGTTGACGATCGTCGCCACCGCCATTCTCACTTTCTTTGTCCATCTGTGAGCCTCCGTTCTTGTTCCGCGCCGTTCGTCTCCTACCCCGTTCACTGACATCCAAACACTTCAAGATTCTTCGCCCACCGCATCTTCATGCGTACGTCCTCCCCTTCACTCTTCTCCCTCTCGTTCTAACGTTGAGATCCCATTTGTTCCTTATTTTCATCTCAAAATACCCTCCATCGCCCCACGTCTTCCTATCTCTCCAATCCCGAAACTATCATATCTCCTCCGATCCTCCGACATCGGCTCTACGCCAAAAATACTTTGCTCACCATACTCAAAACCAAAACATCGACACATCATGCACCACCTCTCAATCGACTCAAATTACCCCACGTACCCCAATCCGGCGCCTATCTCTCCGCTCATTCGTTCGGCGTTGGGGGTGGGGATCTTTCTACCGTTTCGGACGGCGATTCGACTTTATTCTGGATCTTTTTCCATCTATTTTCGTTGACGTGCGCCACCATCTATCGTGACGCACCCCGCTTTGACATTCCCACTTTCGACCAATCCTTACATGTGATATTCGCTTCTCTTGGATCTGCGTCGCCGTGTTGGCGAGTAGTGAGTAGGAGGAATTATTGGCTGACGGCGTCAATTGTAAGTCACTTGAAGTCTTTGAGAAGGAGGTGCTGATGAGCTTTGTGTTTTGACCGAAGGTGGCGTTGGCGATTCTTCGACTTGGTAAGCGCCGACTTCGGAGGAAAGGAGAAGGTTTCGCTGAGTTCTCTTTCGTTTGTGTCGTAGTGTCGGCCTCAGGTGAGTTTAGAAGGTTAGAACTGTTGCTAATACTTTTCTCATCTCCTTGCGGTGGTCATGGAATAGTAACCACCGGCGAGATGTGAGCGCGTGTACCCCAACCTCCATCGGCTCCCAAAAAATTAATTATATTTTTAGGTTGCGCCTTGGAACGTTCTCGCAATTCAAACACGAAATACGAGTACGTTGACCAACCTTTAGAGTTCTCGCCGACGTTCCGCACCTCGTCCTGGGCTACGAACTCAGAACTGACATATTCACAGTGGGTATTCACTACAGGCCTTGCGCTCTCGACATCCGTCGACATCCTCATCACAGCGTCCTTATTCGCCCTTCTCCATACGAGTCGTACTGGGGCTGCAAAGTAAGTCTTCAATATGAAGGTTTCGAAATTTCTAATGGTTGCGTGAAGTTTGAACGCAGTTATCGACTCGTTGATTTGGTACGCGTTTGAGACGGGGGCTTTGACTTGGTAAAGATATTTTCTTTCTGGGTCCTCCGCGCGAACTACTAAAAGCCACTCTATGTAGCGCAGGAACTGTAGTCTCGATGATCTGTGTAAGTCCAAACCGACTCGTCCTATCTCATTGAGCTAACGATCGGTGTATTCCTAGTGGCTGGCGATGCCGAACAACCTGATCTTTATGGGCCTCCACTTCGTTATCGGAAAACGCAAGTATTCAATTATATATCTTCCTCGACCCATTTATCCCCACTTCTCCACGTCTCATTTCCGTCCACGATGCACACCGAACTAACTGCTATTCCTTTCATGACTTTCTTCATTCAACTACCTTACCTCAAATGGTCCCATCATGATTCACGAACGACACCCCGGCGTCGGAAATTACATACTCGACAGTCTACGCTAATTCGCTGCTCGTTACGTAAGTACGGCCTCTAGCTCAGCTATTCCATACATAAGGCCTTCTCTGCGCGTATCATGACCCTGTGGTCGTTGCGTGTGTGTCATTACGCGTATGGGCGGTACACCTGGGTGGTTTAGACTGCCGTCCAATCCCCGTCGGCTCTTGCGAAGTGCGACGCTAGTGTGGAGTGTCGAGCGCTGATCTGATTTTATCGGTTCTCACTAGCACTTTCCCTTTGCCAGGAGATCTCGGACGTGCCCTTGGTGGGTCCCAGGCTATCGCGAGTGTGGTGTAGCTGTTCATTGCTTCCGAAACCCCTCCACCCGCCAGCATATGAATCGTGCTAACTCGTCTCGTCTATCCCTTAGGCTGAATACTCGGGAACGAATCCGACGTGCTCGCTCTCAAGGCTCCGGAGAGTACGCCGCTCCAGTGCATATCCTCGAAAGTCGTCGCCGGCAGACGAGTAGCTCATACCAGCTCGCTATTGATGTGCGTCTTATGCAATTCCCCTTGAATGACAGTTCCGACTCACAACGTTTGCAAGTATTCGCCGGAGGACTCGAAAAAACACACTAAGAGTCAAATTGAGGTACGGTCTTATTTCTTTTGTATGTTGCTCTCGAAAACTGAGCCGGTGTTGCTAACTCGAGGTTAACGTCGAAAGGAGTGTTCAGTATGATTAGCTATATATCAGGTCTCTCTTCAAGTTGCTTGCCTCCAGGTTGCCGCTTCGAATTGAACCAGTCAACCTCCGTGCTCATTACTATATTGTACAAGATATTCATCTCGGTCTAGGTTGTCATCCTACAATCACGATTATTCTATTGGAAGACCCTTGTTGCATACGTCGTTGTTCGGTGTAGAGTCGAAATTTGCTTCTGCCTTCAAAATAATTTAAGACATTAGGTCTTCTTTTTCGTGTTGGACTCCCTAATCTACCGCCGCAGAATTTCGTGCATGAACACCCTCAGCGCACATGCAGTTCGATGAGTTACAATGATGATATATGCTTCTGCATGCAGAAACGAATTTCAATGCGCCCCGGAGGTTTGAGTATTTGAATATGAAAAACCTCTGCCCTCTTCCTACAACAAGCGCATCGAACTCCCATGGTGTCTACCCGATCCGAAGATTGACATAGAGTTCCAAGCTTCGGTGCGACAAGGTTGAATGGTAAAGTCGGGAATTTCAGCTGTATCCGTCGGAAATAACACAAAGTGCGGCTCTCAAAGTTGACTAGCGGGAGAGTTTGGTATTTGTGGGGTCTGAAGAGGGCTCAGGACGATCTCGGCCTACAAACAGAGAATCCTAGATAAACAAGAAGATCACCTGTGATTTCCTATTGCTTCTCGCACGTTGCAATGAAGCGCTTGAAGACTTCCCCACCCGCGCGTTGGTCGAGATCATGCGTCCACCGTTTGGGTTTACCGTAGACCATCTTGCACAATAGAGAACCTGCTTGGGGCACAGGCATCATATCCTCAGCATCAGGGACGAGACGCTTCACGGGCTCAAGCAGCTACAAGATCCTCATCTCAACGTTTGTCACAGTTGCACTTGCAAACGAGCCGCAGGACTTCCAACGCCAGGATCGGAGTTGTAGCAATCGGAGGAACCCGAGCTGACAAATCATTAGCTAATGCTCGACCACAGGCTTGAGATCCATCTTCGCCGTCGTCCACGACGCTCACCATGTCCCAGACACCGATATTCGTAGTGAGTGCGTTCGCTGCTGTCTGAAACTTGTGTATCCACGCTGATATCTGCCTTAGACACCGCGCCTGAAAGGCAGTCCGGGCGACAGCGCAGATCTTAAATATCACGGCCGCTCAGGTGAGTACCAAGTCCATATCGTTCAAGTGGCCGTGTTCCTGAACTAATAAGCAGTAGCGGACGTCATACGAACGTGTTTTGGTCTCAAATATATGCTGAAAGTGATCCTGGATTCCATGGAGGGAAACTTGTACGTCGTTTTCACTTTCCTCATCACCCCATATTGATTATCTTTCTACAGGCTAACCAACGACGGAAACACGATTCTACGCGAGATAGACGTCGCCCATGCAACCGCGAAGAACACGATTGAGCTCAGCCGGACGCAGGACGAGGAGTGTGGCGACGGGACAACGGGTGTTATCACTCTGGGTACGCTGTTTTTCTCCCCTTTCTCTCCTCGTTCTTATCTCCATCCAGCCTGTCGCCATCATCTCAGCCTACAACCAAGCCCTCAAAGAGGCCCTCGAGATCGTCAAACGCATCTCGATACCCATCGACGTCAACGACGATACGCATATGCTCTCGCCGATCAAGACCCCCGTCGGGACCAAGTTCGTCATGCGCTAGTCGGAGCTCATGTGCAACCTCGCGCTTCAAGCCACCGAGACCGTCTCGTAGGACGTCGATGGCCTCAAGACTGTCGATATCAAGCGTTATGCGCGGGTGGAGAAGATTCCTGATCGTACCGCTGGATTGTCCGCCGGAGTACAGGAAGGGCGAGTCACAGACGAACATGGAGTTTTTTGGACTGGGTGAGGGCGCAGGAGATCGAGGAGGAGCAGGTGAAGGAGCTGTGTTACAAGATCCTCGAATCCAAACCCGATTTCGTCATCACCGAGAGGGGCCTCCCAGGTGTGTATTTTGCTTCTCTATGTTCGTTGTTCACTCGCGACTGACACCGCTACTGCATTGCGATAGACCTAGCGCGGCACGTCTTCACGCAATACAACATCTCTACGATTCGTCGCGTCCGGAAGTCGGACAACAACTACATCGCTCTCGCCGTCGGCGCGACCATTGTCAACCGGGTCGAAGATCTGAGGGAAGCGGGTGTTGGAGCGGAATGCAGGCCTTTCTATCTCAAGAAGGTACGTGAGCTCTCTTTGTATCTTTTCTTCATATCTCCTCTCTTCATTCATCGTCGCCTCCATCTTCATGTCTTTTCCTATCCCCCGTTCTTGCAACGCCGTCTCTGATTCCCTCCTGACGTTTCTTTCGTCTCTTCCCCATTCTCAGCCCTTACTTCATATTCATCCTCGACGACGACTAACACCCTCTCCCACAGATCCTTCAGCTTCCTCACCGAATGCACTTTGCCCGAAGCCTGTACCACCCTCCTCCGCGGGCCCTCAAAAGACATCCTCAACGAGATCAGCCGGATCCTCGCAGACGCCATGTCCGTAGCCTGCAACGTCGTCTTCCACCTGTTCCTCTACACCAGGGGCGTGGGCTGCACGCGGAGGCGCGGTGTCGCAGGGGCAGGGCGTGGATGCATGGTCATTTAGGGTGATGGTGGACGCGATGGAGGTGATCCCGCCGACGTTGGTTCAGAACGCGGGTGGGGCAGAGATGAGGGAATTGACCGAGCTGAAGGTTCCTCGTTTCTGCTGTGTTTCATTTTCGAATTCATCTTGTTTCGTTACCCTCTTTGCTCTCGTCATCCTCCGAGTTTCTCTATTCTCTTCGATTCGCATTCTTGTGTCCGTTTTCATTTGGCATCTCGTTCGCCATGTACTTTCAAAGCTTCGTTTGGTCGACTCACGGAATTACCTTCCTATGCCTTAAGATGAAACATTTCTCTTCGTCTTTGTCTGGCCTCGTGCTTACTCTTTGATTCAATACTTCGCCTCTATGAATCTTGTTGACTAACGTTCATGTTCTCATAGGCCAAACACACTAACGGCGAGCATTCATGGGGCGTTAACGGCGACAACGGCTGAATCGCCTACATGAAGACCTCCAGCCTATATGAACCTGCCGGCGTCAAGATTCAGACACTCAAAACCGCCATCGAGGTACATGCATTTTCTCCTTATTCTCACCTCAGCACTTCGTCATCATCCTGATCTCCGCCATCCACATCCACTCTTCTGTCCCTGTCCCTATTCCTTCACATATACCGCTCCGTATTCCGTACCCCATACCCCATAAAATATGACTCTCTTCGTCTTCCTTTCTCCGCCGATAGTCTTTTTTCTCCATTCGTCTCGAGTTCGGTCACTCTTCCGAATTGATTACTAACACTTATTTATCTATATCTTTCATTTAGGCCGCGCATGTGTTACTGCACTTCGACGATGTTGGTCGGACTTCAGGTCCTGCGGCGCGAGAAGGAAGGAGGCGGAGGAAAGCCGATGAGGATGGGTGTGGGCGAGGGTGAGACGGGTAGTGAATGAGATGGGCGATGATGCCGCGATGACTTGCTGAGTGCCTGACTCTTACTATCCTCCTTTGTAATCCGTTCAAAATATAGAGAATGTACTAATCGATCTTTCTTGACCGCCGGCATGTGAACGATCTGTGAATATTCGGCCACGATGCACAGTCGAAGGAAGGCCTCGAACGCACCCACTTCAAGAGCCGTCGAGCGACGGTTTGGCTTGAACATTTATCTAAACGTTACGTTGAGCACTTTGAAGACAGATAGCAACACGACGCCTCTTCTCCGTCTGACATACATTATGTTATGTCTTTTCGCTCTCTCTGCATACCAAGACGACGAATACGTACGGCACGTGCGGCTCGCTCATAGCACAACTCAGCCAACGCTTCTCTTTAAGGTTTAAGGTATGATGACGTTCGTCCTTGGCCGGCGCCGCCTATACTTACCCTCCGCATTCCCAAGGGCCCTCTCTAGTGCTACCTAAATACACGGCGTATGGGGTATCCTCGGCGGAAACGAAGTCTTGGGCTATCTCAACCGCCGAAGTAAGTTTGCGGTGGACTTATCTGGAAGTTGGGTTCTCACCGACGGATTTAGGTGCTGTATTTCTAGGTTTTTTGCCTAGATGCCAGAGGAATTCAGAGTTCTGTGGACTAATATTCCTCCTCGTTACAAAGTGGCCGTTCGATTTGTCTAACAGAACGAAATAGGCATACAGTTCATCCTCTTCCATCCTTAAGTCGACTCGTGCAGACTCGTGTTTGTCTGGACGACAACGCAGATCCTTAAGACCTCGAGGCCTCTCATCGTACGTCACTTTCATTTCGGTATTTATGTTCCACATTCATCGTATGGTTTGGTTGGTACCTATAAATTTCGCCGCAGCGCTCAAAGTGATCTGTATTTAGAGGAAACCGCCGGTGTCATCGGCGAAACGAAGGGCCGAGTACAGTCCTTGCATCCAGCGCCTTCGAACAAGTGAGACCAGATGAGTATATGAAATCCCTTTGAGTTCAATACTCGCTCACTTTCGTTCTTAGACGAAGATCGGGGGAGAATTGGGCATATCCATTGTTTCGCGCGGACAGCTCGATGTCCCAACCTACTTATCACCTTGCCTTTGAAACGTCGTTTATCCTCTGCTAAAAGATTGCCTATCGCTCTGATGCTTGTCTCTTCGCGCAACCTTGTTCGATATTCGTACGTCTCTTTCTTTTCAACTACCCCGCACGCCCCTGTCCTGAGGGATCTAATCTCTAGATCCGGCCCTCCGGTTGTCTTACGCCCCGCTTTGCCTCCGACGCCGGCAAGATCTCAGTTTACATAGCTCGTATGTGCCGACCGCCGTTCTACGCCCACAGCCCCACCTCCGGTCTCTCTAGCCTGGTCTCTTGAGCATTCCTTGCGAGGAATCGGGCGCCCGCCTTCTCAAATCGAATCGAATGCAATTGAACGCCACCAACTCACCCCCTCGAGTCGTACAATACCCATACCCGCACCCGCCCTAATCCCTCTCCTTTCGTACGGAGCGTAGTTGTCAGTTTTCCTGCATAGACGGTAGAGTATCCATCTGACAGCCTTCCCCACACGACGCACGCCGCAACCCATTGGCATCAAGCGCTACTTCTTCCCCCGTGCTTGGCGAGCGCGACGACGCCACACAAGCGACCATCTGCGCAGGACGCCGGGCGACCGCATGATCGCGGTGATCCCAATCCGCTGGGCCCGATGCATACATTTTCAGGTGTATTCGTCGGGCGAGGCCAGTCGTTCGGAGAGTGCCGTTAGTTGAGGACGAAGATAAGTATTTCTAGTATACTTGGACGCTGGCGTCGTTATTACTGATGGGTATCTATCAGCTGGGCAACTATCTTCAGAATTTCATAAAGCTATTCTTGAAGAAGGAAGGAGGCTATGGGCGACACGGCAACGCCTTCTAGTATTGATGATCTCGACGACGTATTAGACCTGTCAGCTAAGCTCTTCACATTCAATCTTCACTCTGTTGTTTTCCTAGTTTCAACGATATGATTTGCTGATAAGCCTTGCACAGATATCTCTATTCACTTCGAGTCGCAACGAAACACGGAAAATCGCTCAACTAACCCCTAGCAGCGCCTCCTTCCCCAGACGACACCGAACCTCGAAAGATGATAGGTCGATGTTCGAAGGCGCTAATCCACAGCTCTGGCTCTTCTTCCCCGCTGGATTCAGGGTCGGCCCCGAATCTGCAATCGGCCTCTTTCGTCCAGTGCCCAGGCCACCACCCCGCCGGACGAAATTGAGTCGCCGATCCCCGCTTGGTAAAAATCATCCGACCGCACGTCCACGGCTAACATACGGGTATGTTTTGTATGTAAGGCCCCAAGAGCGACGAGCGTAGAAAAGAAGTCAGTTGATTCCTGACTAGATTCCCCCCTTCGATGCGCACTTGCCCGTCGTCGTGTTTCTGCCCTCGCTCCCCCCGCACGACGTGCTTTCCCCCACCACAGTCTCCGTTCCCGTCCCGGCTCGCACTGGCATAGTGTTCACGAAGGATGGTCGACATTGGGCGTACGTTCGGTGCGCTGATGGTGGGTGGGATCGTCGCCGCGATGTGCGTTATGTTTCTTCTCCGACGGATGCCTCCGCTAAATGCACTCTCAAACTCGCCCTCCTCTTCGACTCGCAGATTCTCCGGCGTAGTCACATCACAAGCTTTCGCGTACTTCAAGAACTATCCCGCCGACGCGCGGGTAATCCAAGTGCTGGTACGTCCTCGTACGATACGTACACGACATCGTGTTCTGACTTTTACCTTCTGACTTCGTGAACCCAGGTCGGCGTCGTATGGTAAATCCATTATTCAAGTTCGACGGAAGGTGCGGCGCTGACTTCGTTGGGGCTTGGGCTTGTAGGATCCTCGATTTTTGCCACACGATCTTTGTCTCCGTGTCGTTGTGGGACCATCTTATAGCCCACTTCGGCCAGCCCGAGCAGATAGATGTCATCCCATGGTGCGTCGCCCGTTTCACCTTCCTCTATTCTCTCGCTCATTCCTCTTCGTAGGTCACTAGCGGTGAGCCTAAACCCCTCTCCTCGCCGCCAACTCCAACCTCAGCATCTCTTCAGCTAACCATTGCATTCACCGCCCTCCTCACATTCCTTGTTCATCTGTGCGTCCCACCCACCTCCCACCTTCCTCGTCGCCCTACCAAACCAACCATCCTCCCCAGATTCTTTGTCTACCGGATATTCAGATGTACGGCACTCTCCGCTCTCTGTTCGTCTGCTTCCTGACTCGGGGCTTCAGTAAGCCACGACAACTTCTTCATTGGTATCCCCCTCGTACGTCCTTCCTTCCTTCTTCGACCCCCAATCTCGCGGTCCCTCTCTCTTCTACCTCACCTACGAGCGACGTGCCGACTGACGTGTACCCCAGGCGCTGCTCGCATGCGCTCGTCTCGGTAAGTTTTCTTTTGCTCCCATGCAATCCCTTGGCGTCGACTCTGACATCTTACTCCGCACTCATTGGACGTACGCAGCCTTCGCCTGTCGTAAGTCTTCTCTCTTCTTAGCCTAATCCTCCATCCTCCTGCGCGACGTCGGATCCCCCGCTCTACCCGCTACCCGCTCTAACGAGACTATGATACTAATCTCCCGCCAAACGCCCAACGTACAGTCACAACAGTTAAAATGTGGGTCTCTCGGTCTAACACTCCTCGTCTGACCCACGCGTTACTGACAATCATCTCGTCTTGGTCGTGGTAGGATAACCCTGCGGAGTTTACGCGAGTTCGTGGACCTGTACACCGTACGTCCCTCTTTCGCCTCCTTAACCCCATACACCATCCTGTCTTTCTCTGTGCTCATCCGTTTGTCCTCCCCCCGTGCCTGTCATCGACAACCCCATCGTCATTTGGCACCGACAACAGTGGTCATTCACAACCGGCCTCTCCCTCTCCTCCCTCCTCGACGTCCTGATAACATCCTTGATGATGTACCTACTCAAGCGGAATCATCAGGTGAATTCAAGGTTCGTTTCGCGCTCCTTTGCCGTCTGGATGGGCATTGAAGGAGACTTGGGATTCACGTCTAGCATGAACCACGTGCTCGACAAGCTGATGTTGTACGCGTTTGAGAATGGTGCCCTGACTTGGTGCGTTCTCGATTCGTTTTCTTCAGAGTAAAGTTTTAATCTTAACCCCCACCCTCGCTATCGTTGTTCATTCATGCAGTGCTGCCACCGTCACCTCGCTCGTATGCGTACGTCTCCTTATTTCGTTCGTAAAGTTTGTGGGCTAATATGCGATTCTAGTGGTTAACGATGCACACCAACCTAATATTCATGGGTCTCCACTTCGTCATCAGCAAACGTTCGTACCGTTCTTACCCCCACCCTCCGACGCTAACACCTTCCCATCATCCAGTATACGCCAACTCATTACTTGCAACGTACGCCTTCCCTTCCACCCCCCTCGTCCATACGTCCTCGTTCTAACTTCACCTCAACCTTTCGCACAGACTGAACAAGCGGAAGAAGCTGAAAGGCGGCCACCTAACACACAACTCCGTCTCCGTCGAGCGGAATCTAGCGGGGATGTTCCCCGATACGTTCGGGATGGGGATCTCGCGCAAGGCGACTACGGTGCGTTCTTTCTCTTTCCCTTGCCCCAGCTTCGACTTGTACTAGACGCTAAGCCTGAATTGTGCTTTTTTCTAGGGGTTCATCCACACGGAAGATATGTCACGCACACATCCCGAGGTGCGTCTTCCATTAATTTCCACTTTCGTTCTTACTCTCTACCTTCCTCGTCTTGTTGTCCTGACTCTCGTTCTCGCACAGCTCCAAATCCAAGTCGATCGGATGAAGATGTCCACCGTGGACGAGGTGCCGAGCAGCCCGAGCGCCCAGGAGTCGGACGATTGTATCAAGACGGGCGTGCGGGATCTATAACGCTGACCTATTTTCGTTTCGATTTCCTCTGTTCACGATTAACGATCCATACACACATACTAGCTTCCTCGTATTCACATCCCCAGCATAGCACATTACTACTGTTTTCGCCCTTCCTTTGATATCTCGGGCTTGGGTCTTTGGCATCCCTTCACCATTCGTTTCTCGTCGTTCGCTTGCTCTTTACATTATCCATCTGTACAACCAATCTCAAGGTTAATTTATTGCTTTCGATTAAGTTTTTTGAACAGAGTCTGGGTACGTAGAAGGGATGTACAAGTATGAGCAGATTTACAATTCCAGCGCCGCGAGACTGGACGCGATCACATGACTCTGGTCTGTTTGTAAGAGCCCGTCTTTCTGTTTCTACCAATTTGAACGCCGAACTTGTCTCTTTGTTCGCGCATCGACTCGCAGGATACGAAGCTCTACATGGTTCAGCCTTTGACTCCCGAATGAGTCATCTTCAATCGCCATGTCCTCGAACTACACGACTTTCAACTGGACCTCGCCAACGACCTCGTTATTTTCCGAGAAGTTACCACCGACGAAATTCCTGGGGAAGGAGGCGAAGTAGCGCACAGGCGTCGGCGCAAATCGACAATGACGATTCTACGGACCGGACTGCACCAGTATGTCATAATCGCATATCTTCGTATGCAGCTAGTGACGATTGTGTAGCCACCGAAACGACCTATGAAATGGTGGTATCCTGGGAAGACAAAATGCCCTATAGGAGGAGTCTAGGAGGAGTCCTCACACTATGGCCTGACGAGATGGCAGAGGTTGAGCAGAGTGCACACACCATCGGAGGACACCACACCGCTCGCTTTTTTCTCGAAATCGACCACCCGACTGGCGACCGCAATTTCATAACACCTTGCTACCAACCCACCGTCAACCATCCTCCATGGTTCCCACCTCGAGCGAGAGGGATCCTGTAGTACCACCAACCATCTCCCAAAGAGCCCGTCATGAACGGACAGCTCCGGTTCCGCCTTTGCGATGGGCACGAGACGTTCGACCAGGGTATGGACATGTTGGACCGGAATGTCGTCGAAGCGTGGTACATAACCCTCTACGCCATCGTCAAGTCGTTCTACCTTCGGTCCGTGGTCGACATGCTCCTGCAGGAAGGTCTTATGAAGAGAGAAGTCATCGACAAGGTCGCGAGGTTACCCAACGTGCAGACAAAAGCTCCGATATTGTACTCCTTCGACACTCCCTTTGTGGCCGAGATGTCAAAGCCGTCGTTGAGGCTGGCGCTTATCAGCATCGACATGTTCAAGGCCATCAACATTCCTTACGTCTTCCAGCACAACCTGCCACCGGAGACACCATACAAAGGTACTTATAACGAGACGGATACGCCATTCTGCTCTTTTCTGATTCTTTTTCCTCCTGTAGGGCGTGTCTGTGCTTCGAGGTCTCGACTTCCACCGAACATGAAATTGTGCCCACCCTCGTTCTGCGAATCCTAGAGCATATCGACACCGTCAAATGTCTCATACCCGACTGCAAGCACTTCATAGCCGAGCCAACGCAGGGCTCGTTACTATCGAAGAAGGTTTCCATCCTACACGAAGATACAAAGCATAGACCGTGGTCGTACCCACTGTATAGCCGGCCCCATTCCGACCGTCTCAGGAAACTCATCGGGCTTCCATGAGATCTGCCGCTCCAGAGCTGTCGGGGCCCATCGACTTCACGACGATAAATGTTCTGGCTACTTCGGCTTTTCAGCAGACGGTTGGAGGCCGTATCCTCGTGTGCACCGCCGGTCAGCCCTAGGCTCTTGATCCTCCACGTCGAGGCAACGTTGTCCTCGATCCGTGCCCACACGCACGGCATCCTTGAAGTGCTCTCGAGCATGGGGCGAACGAGCGTTTGTCAGTGCTAATTAAAGACGACCAAACCATGTTCGTTCACTTTTTCCCTTTCTTCTTCCGCAGCGCTGACCCCATCGACTTTCAAGTTCGCTTGTCAATGCCTGCACAAAGTTGATTGCTGGCTCTGTTGCTGGACGTCGATATCCCAGTCCTGCGGGTGGTGCCCTCCGTGGACTGTTACCCGAGGGTGATATTCGAGAGGACGACGGTGGGATGTTATCTGTCTACATAACGAGCGGCATGGGGTTGATAAATGTTACATAATCTTGAACGAATTGCATACCCGTCTTTCCTCACCTCATTTTTGACACAGACAAGTGTTTGAAAGGATTTGTTCACCCCCAGGACCGCTTGTGGAAAGCCGTTGGTTTATCTCAACATGCGCATACTATTTGTGATTTTCGACCGCGAAAGGAGAAGAGCCTCTCTCCCTTCTCGACTCGGAGGAAGGTACGATCTTGTGTACGATTTATCTTCCATATTTCAATGCAATATCTTTGCCCTTTGGCGTCTCCTTTTTTAGACAAATTAGACCTCATGAGGCCGTACGAAACGGCAACACGGAGGTGTTAAACTTCGACCTCTGCCGCCTGCAACCTTGCGAATCCTGTGGAAACCACACTTTCAGCTCCCTTTCCGTTGGTTGTGATACTCTCGCTGATTCATCGCGCTCTGGAGATATTTCTCTTGTTTCCGGACTTTCCCAGTAAAAGTGCCTGGTATGTTTTCGGTGTTCTGTGAGCGAAGAGCCATAAGCGATGACGAACGCGCTGAACTTGGTCCTGAAGACGTACCACCAAGTCAACGAGACGCGGATCGGGTACACTGCAGCAGCGCGGGCTGTGATTGCTGTGGATGGCGTGAAGGGCTTGTTCCGACGCGGTCCGAAGACGAGGATATTGGCGAATGGACTCCAGGACCTGATGCTTTCCGTTCTTTGGCGGTTCTTCATGGATACGTGAGTAGTTTTTTGCGGTTGTCGATACCACGAATTGATCGTTTCTTGCAGGTGGGAGGAGAGGTCCAAGTCCAGGGTAGACTAGATGAATTTAGATGCGATAATGTCCGTCTTATTCCATGTACTTATGCTCTTTCTATGCTGTAGAACCCTATCCAAACCCAATTGTTTGGACGTTGTGACGATCGTGGTGTCGCGGTCGACGGATTACTTACTGGCGTCGTGTTGGAGGCGATGTTCAAGGAAGGCGCTAATAAGCTATGCTCGTCGATGGTTTCTAACCGTTGAAGAGTATAGCTAAGAGCCGTTCGTTGAGACCCAAACAGTGACAAGGCTGAACTCCGGCACTCATGCCTCAGTTATGTCTTTCTCTTGAACAACCGACAGAGACTTGAAAAATATCTGTTCAGCAATATATGTCGTACACATAAGGTTTGAGTGACTAGGTATGTACTATTTCTATCCAAGAAGTTACTGCCTCTGCAATTCTCGAAGATATCGCTTGACGTAATTCCCGAACGTCCAGGGGAACATGCCGTCAGGGTTAATCGCCTGGTCGACCTGGGTAAGTCGCGAAGAACGCGTCGTATCTGAATCTCTTGAACACTGGAGGAACCTGGTGAGCAGATTCGGGGTTATCCCAGGCAGTGCTAGCATCGCTGAAGACTTTAAATGGGCGGCCAGCAGGGAGTCGGACGTATGCATGCGCCGCCGAAGTTGCCAATCCTGAAATGGCCGGTTACATCGATAAAATGTTCGCTGGCTTGATGTCTCGATGGGTTATCCCGAGGCGATGAAGGTGGTAGGTAGTTTTAGTGGACTGTGATGTCCCACTAGGAGGATCGGCGAGAGGCGATGCGGCGAAAACGGAGGCGAAGGCGAAGACGGCTCCATGATTTGTTGCTGAGTCGCGCAATGTCACCCGAGCCGGGGATGGTGGCAGAAGGTGTCCGATCAATTGACGAGGAGCGATCTTTAGGTCGAGGTGAACGATTTTCTCCCAGGTCACCGGATGGGCTGCCAGTGATCTCGGCGATAGTCTCAACGCCTGAGGTGGCCATCGACCACCACGCAGGTACCATAGGCGGCCTTGACGGCGGCTAGTTGCTCCTCGAGCTGCGCGTACGCCTCCTTGGTTTCAGGGATGACAGGGGCAGCGATAGAGGAGGTGTTCTTGGAGATGGCGTTGGTGTTCATGGGACGTCGCGCCCAGCGTCCACACAGCCCTCGGGCACTGCGGACGGACCGCAGAGGCGAACACAGCAATCTCGGAAGCGAAGGGCGTAGACTTAGTAGCCGTTAATAGAAGCGGATTCATTCGGAGTCCAGTCATAGGAAGTTGACGGTGGTCTAGATCTCGAAGGCGGGGAGTGAAAAGTGGAGAGGGGAGGACGGTAAGGGTGCAGGTATGGTTATATCTTCGTGGGGCCCGAGAAGGGTGAAGTTTCTGGGGAATGTCCCTCGTCCGAGCGCCTTATATACGTGTCCCATCCTCCAGTGGCCCAAATTCAAAGCACGCCATGTTTCCATTCCCGGTATTGTTACATGCGACCCCATTGTGTTTTGCGCGTTGTCTGGACTCTGTGGCCGGTTTTGACTGAGTGGCCCGAGCGCGCTGACAACTGAGAGTACTGCCGAATTAGGCTGTCGCGCCACACCCGCGTCCTTCTCACGACTCGGGGACAGATGGTAAAGGAGGAGTGTGTCGATTCGGAGGCGGAGCAATAAGGGCCCTTTCCGATATTCGTGGCTCGTATCCGCCCACGCCACGTAGCTGCTAGCGTGCTGCTATAGTATCACCAAGGTTCGCCCGCTTTATTTCGTGTTCATGTTCGTTTTTGTGTTAACTCCAACGGTTTATCGTAGTCGATATCTCCAGCATTTCTCACGTGCGCTCCTCTCTACTAGTACTAGCACTGATTTACGCTCCCCCCCACCCCCGGGCCCCTGCGCATACAGAAAGGTCAGGCCCATAACTCGAAAATCTGAGCCGTCCGCTGTGTGTGTGAATTCGGCTGACGCAACGACGGCGACGGCGATGGATCTCCCCCCTAAAGCTAAAGCTTGATCACCAGCACTGCTCTCAGTCGTCCGAGCTCCGCATGTTTTGACTGTGGCTATGGAGTCTGGCCAGATAGTCCTCCACGTTCGTCTCGCCCCGCCTCAGGCCTGCCGGGCATGTCCATGTGTCCTCGCCTGCTGCAAGCTCAACTCGATGATGGCCTCTCCGCGTCGTCTTTTCCTTCATCATCTTCATCCACGACGACGACTACTACTACTACTACTACCAACACCCTCTCCTGAGTACTAGTCCTAGATGTCGAAGCTTAAAAATAATAATAAAAACATAATAGCAAAGCAACTACAAGAGCAAAAGATATATAAAAGACCCGTCGAGGCTGGCACTTATCAACCCGGTCCTTGCGCGTGCGTTGCATCTGACGAAGGTGCTGGTGCCGGTGATCCTCGATCGAATACTTTTGCTGCACCACGACGTTCGCCCATCCGCCCATCCGCCCATCCATCCATCCATCCATCCACGAAACTACTACTACCCACTACCCACCACCCTCCACTACCCTCCACGAACGTCGTACTCAAAGTCAAAGTCGAAGGTGGTGGGGACACGTACGTCTCCGTCTCTACCCCCCTCCCCCCTCCGAGTCCTGATTCGACGACCAACCTGAGGCTGCGAAAGAATCAGAAAATGCCTGTCTCCACCCGCGTCTCCGAGTCCGACGCGTTACGCCGAACGACCACGACCACGACCAAGAAGGACGACCACGGAGGAGTCAGGACAACCATCCACGGAGAACAACCATCCATCCACGGAGGACAACCGACGACGGCGCAGTCACTGGTCAGCACCCAGGGGCCAGCACTGTATTCAGACGGAGAGGTGATGCCCTGCTGCACCTGCCTCTCGAGACGAAGACGTCTAGGCCAAGGTTGGTTACCGTTCGAGCGCCTTATTTCGTGTAAGTATTGAATATTGACGTTGAACGTTCGTTGACGTTGATCTAGAGCATTTCTCGCCCTCTTCCACTTAAGGTACCCCGCCCATCTTCCCCCCGCCCGTGCCTGTGCCCGTTCGCAGAAAGTTCCACAAACTGAAAGCCATCTTGACGCCCGTGTGGTTGTTATCTCGTGGCTGTGCTATTGTCGACATACTGTAATCTCTTCACGGATGTCACGCGTCACCAGGCCCGGCTGAAGAGTAGGTAGTATCGGTACAGTAGCGGCTCCCACGAGCGCTGTCATCTTCAACGTCGACCATCACAACCATCGGTGCGTCCTTTCTTTCTTGTCGGGTTCCTATCACTCATTCCCCGGTGTATAGACCCGCGATTCAACATTTCAACCCTCCGATTTGACACGCGCCCGTAGCCTCAAATTCCGCCCAACTCGACCACCAAGATTTCGACGCTCAGGCCCCGCGGCGAGCAGCCTCCACGGTTAGGACAAAGGCTTCGTGGATAGGATGTTGTGATGTTGCTCGAGGTACGTATGTCCTCTCATGTTCGTTTTCTCGTCGTCTCATAATTCTCCAGTGCAACCCCGCTTCGAACTTGGGATTTGGACTTCTGGCGAACGCCTCCTTCGTCCTACCGGCGTCGACAGGCGAAGTACGAGCAGCACGAGGAGCAGGAGCTGGTGCAGGATGTCATACGTATGTTCATTCGTGTTCGTTTCCTCATCGTCTCATAGTTCTCCAGACCCAGGTCACGCCCTTCCCACCTCAAATTTCGGATTTGGACTTCCGGCGAACGCTTCCACCTGCCCTCCTCATCTCGTCTCTCCGACCGTCCGCAATCTAACCCCATATTCAGACATCCGGCAAACGGCCCAACGTCAACGCGCTCATTCGCCACCAACGTCTTCATTTCGACTCCGGCTTGTGCTTCGAAGACCGACATGGTACCAGCCCCCGTATCCAACGCGCTGCGACGAGAAGGAACCTCTGGCCGACGTGTAGGACACAGCCAGGTATGTTCGGCCCGTCGTCCTGTCTTATCTCGAGGTCTGACACTGTTCTACAGCCGTCTGCTCGCCGTTGCCACCGCGGCAACCCCTGGGTCGCCCCGAAGATAGCGGGCAACGCTTACACCCTCTTCGCTTCTGCCCTCGACTCTGCGATTTCCCGCCTGCGACACCTTTTGTATCCGCTACGACTATTCCGACCGGCGTCTGGGCAGAAGATGAGACGAGAGGAGTGAGCCCGACGCTCTGCCCGCCTCGTCGAGTCAAGAACGTTTGGCTATGGTACGTGCAATTCTTTCATTTCTTGCCTTTCGTCATTCTTACATGTTGTCCCAGCTTCGTATCGTGCTTCTCGAGGGTAACTCTTGCTCATCCCTCCAGCCCGAACTCAAACCCTGAATTAGGGTACGCTGGCTTGTATCATACGCCAGCACACCCTCATCGGCAACCCGGGCTGGGCCCCTCGTCGACATTTTCTGGACTTCACTCCCTTCCTCGACGCGGCCTCGTTCAGCACCATGACTCAGACCAACGACTCCGTTCATCTAGCCTGCTGGTTACTGAATCTCGCGCGCCAACCTCGATGTCAGTTGGGCTGCTAGTAGCAGCGCTGGATCGAGAAACTTGCGAGGATTCGTGTACGGAGATATCTTAGCCGTGTATGCGCGCTTTCTCACCCTGCTAGCGCTCTTTAACCGCGGTTACCAGGCAGGCAATCTTGGAAATCTATAGTATTTCGCAGGCTCAAACACTGTGTATTTATAAAAGATGCCTTTATTGTTATTCCTATGGCTCCCGCTCGTGCTCAAGGCGAAGTTATGCAGGTCGTATCAAACCCTCAAACGTGTAATCAAAAATAACACGGAACTTCCTCCTGGCCTTCCGCAGGTACTTTGCTTTCCGGATTCAACCCCTCGTCCACCCCAGATGTTAGAGTAGATACTTATCCAATTCTTCGACGCGCGCCGAGTTCCCCTCCTTCATTAATATTGCTTCTTCCCTTGCATTCTGACGTTATCTTCAAATTGCATGGACAGTTGTACTTCTCCGCGCAAGAAAACCCCAGCGACTGGTGGATCCGACAGTACGAAGATGCTTTCGCATGTCATTGATGTTGCGCATGTTTCCCGCCCTCCAGTGTGGTGAAGTAGTAATTGTCCACGAACAAGGCCTTAGCCCGGGTAAGGTGGGGCAGAGTGAGGAAGGGACGAGCGACGAGTAGAAGGGTGTGGAGTGAGGTTCCTGGAGGAGAAGGGGAGGCAGATTCTGGCGTCCTGATAAGTTCGGAATTGGCGAAGCCGAGCGGTCCGATGAATGGCTCGGGGATCCATAGTTTGCGGCAGTCAACGTCGACCCGGCATCTGCGACTCGATAAGTAATCAGCGAGTGGAATAGCTTAGACCGGGATGACCCTGAAGAAGAAGAAGCCGCCGCCGCATCCGGGGTCGTAGCGGACAAAGTCAGATGAAGGATCGGCATTGGCGACGACGGCAGCGGTCCTTCGACGCTTGCGCGGCGGCTCGCTTGATCAGAGGAGATCGGTAGAGTATTCTAAGACGCCGATGTGTCACTCCCTCTCCAATTCTCGAAGATATCGCTTGACGTAGTTCCCAAACGTCCAGGGGAACATCCCGTCAGGGTTGATCGCCTGGTCGACCTTGGGCAGGTCGCGAAGAACGCGTTGTATCTCTTGAACACTGGCACCTGCAGTGAGTGGCGGGTACGATGGCCGACAAGAGTGGAGGGAGACCCTCGGGTCGAGGTGAACGATTTCCTCCCGGGTCACCACTGGGTGGTCGGATGGGACGTCGCGGCTCTTGATAGATTTGGTGGCTGATGTCACCCAGGCCAATCGTCTACGTATCCCTCGGGCCCTGCGGACGGACCGCAGAGGTGAACACAGCAATCTCGGAAGCGAAGGGCGTAGTGGCCGTTGGTGGAGGCGGATTCATTTGAAGTCCAGTCATATGTTGGTCTAGATCTCGAAGATGGGGAGTGAAAAGTGTAGAGGTGGGTAGGGTAGACAATGATATATGGCTACCTCTTCGCGGGCTCGAGAGGGGTGGGGTTTCTAGGGAACGACCCTCGTCTGAGCGCCTTATATGTGTCCCGTTCTCCGGTGGCACAATTTCAAAGCGCGCCATGTTTCTATTCCAGGTATTGTTACATGGGGCCCCATTGTGTTTTGCGCGTTGTCTGTGGCCCGCGTGAGGACCAAGCGCGCTGACAACTAAAAGCACTGCCGAATTAGGTAGGCCGTCGCGCCACACACCCATATATATTCGGCAGTTCGACGACACGATTTATTCGCCACTCATGTACGTCACAAAAATACCGGTCGTAAGTACGTACGATTACTATTGCTGAAGATCGGGATTGGAAAGCCAAAGCCAAAGCCGAGCAATGAGCGAACGCAAGCTTGAATGGAACTTGACGGAAGTAAGTGCTTCAAGAGTTGATCGAACGTCATTGTTATGGGTTAAGATAAAAGAAAAAAAAGTAACGTGCGCGAGGTCGAGGTGAATGCGACGAAGAGGAGGAGTGGTGCTGGTGCTGGTGCTGGCGTCCATCGTACGAGCTTGGGCTGTTGGGACAGATGACCGTAGCTAGGTGGCATGGCGTACGATCCGGCGGTCGCCCGTGTTCGGATCTACTCGAGGTCGCCATGTCATCATTGATGACTAAGGAACCCGTGGGAACACGGCTGCCGTCCGCGAAACGCCTCTGTCTCCTCTCCTTTGCCCCGACGCGTCCATGCTATTCAACCAGACGGCGCGACCCCTCGTGCATCTCAGTTCGTCTCGCCCCCTCATCCTGTCTCCAGTCAACTGCAAGCTGCACCGACCACGTTTTTCCTTTTTACCCAATCCTGGGCCCTTGCGTCCGACGGAGAGAGGATGCACTGATGCTCTGCCCGCCTAACTCTGGTTAACAGATTTGGGCCAAGGTTAGTTCGCCTGCCTTGTTTCATATACTCTACTAACGATCTACAGCATTTCTCGCCCTCTTCCGCCCCCGCCCCCGCCCTCGAAAGTTCCAGAAACCAAATGTCTACCCCGCCCATCTTCCCCCCCTGAGCCGTCCGACCCAGGAATCTCAACTTGGCCAACGCCGCACGCCTCGGATCCCACATTTACAACGAGTCGTTCGGTGCACGACAGACGGTCAGACCTACCACGGGCATGACCACGACCACGACTACGATTCCGCCCATCCACACGCTATCCACACACCCTGGTCATCTGCCCGCCTCACCCCACCGCCAACGCCAACGCCAGACGCGCATAATTTGAGATTGCACGCACTCCTTCACCCCTGCGTCACTACATGCATATGATAGAGCCTAGCCGTTCGTAGGACGAGCGTCATCACCCTCAGTGCATAGTTTTCGTCGTCATAGTCTCCTCTTTCTTACCTCTATCTAGCTGGCGAAATCCTCGTGCAATCACTCCCAACTCAAACGCGACATCCACCCCATCGTCACCATCTCCGCATACAACAAGGCCTCGAAGGTGGCCTTCGAGACTGTCGAACATATTCCGATACCTATCGACGTCAACGACGACAGAAGGGAGAGTAGCGGACGAACATAGGTTTTTCGAAGGAGGCAGACCGGGCGAGAGCAGGAGGAGCGAGTCGAGGAGTTGTGCTACAAGATACTGAAACTGAAGTTGGATATCCACCTTGCCATCGCCGAGTAGGCATTTCAGGTGCGTTTTTTTTTCTTCTCCACTTTTGTTGTTCTCTCAACTGACGCCACCACTTTACACAATGTCTCAGTGATTCGTCGCGTATGGAAGTCGGACGACAACCGCATCGTTCTCGCTGTCGGCGCGACCGTTGTCAACCGGTTCGAAGATCTGGGAGAAGTGGAGAACGCGGGCTTCTCAACATGGAGAAGATCGGCGACGAGTGCGTAGGCTCTCTTTCTATCCTCTCTCCGTATCCCTTCTCTTCCTCCGTCGTCGCCTGCATTCTCCATGTCTTCTCCGACCCTTCTTTCTTGCATCGCCGTCTCTGTCTCTGTCTCTGTCTCTGTCTTTTCCCTTTCCTTATCTCTTCTCCTTTCTCTCCTTTTTCTTCATCCTCGACTACTAATACCGCCTCCTCCAGGTACTTCATCTTTGTCACCGATGCACCTCCTCAAAAGCTTGCACCACCCTCCTCCGCTGACACCCTCCTCCGCGGGAACGTGATTGACCGGAACCTTGCCGACGCCATGTCCGTGGACCAAAACCTTGCTGACACCATGTCTGTCGACCGGAACCTTGCCGACGCCGTCTCCGTAGCCCGCAACGCTGTCTACCACTCCTTCCGCTGCCCTGGTGGTGGTGGTGCGACCGAGATGTCGATTTTTGTGGGGCTTCACGCAAAGGCGCAAGGGGTGCGAGTGCGATGGCGATGGCGAAGGTACAAGGAGTGACTAGTGGAGGGCGTGGGCGTCCAAGGGCGATGGCGGATTGAGGCGATCCTGATTCCGTGGACGTTGGTCTAATGCATACTTGCATACTACACATAACTTCAATGGAAGTCCTACAGCAGGCAGTTGACAAGCTCAGACTTGCGAATAATGGAACGTCCTCGACATGTTCAAGGTCGTCAAGATTCCTTACGTCTTCCGCACCACCTACCACCGGAGACACCATACAAAGATATACACCACAAAATATATGCACCGTTCTACTCTTTTCTGATGTTTTTCCTCCTATAGGACGTAGTAGTGCCCGCTTCGAGGTTTCTACTTCCTCTGAACATGAGATCGTGCGTACCCTCGTTTTGCGGATCCTAGAGCCTGAGCACATCGACGCCGTCAAATGTCCATACCCGACGACAAGCACTTCATGGCCGAGCCAACGCCGGGTTCATTGTTGTCGAAGAGGGTTTTTCCATCCTGCACGAAGATGCAAGGCATGGACCGTGGTCGTACCCACTGTATAGCTGGCCGCATTCCCGAGCGTTTCAGGAAACTCATTGGGCTGCTATGAGATTTCGCGCTCCACTGGCAGAGTTCTCGGACCATCGACTTCACGAGGGTGGGTATTCTGGACACAGCCCGCTACAGCTCACCGGCAGACTGTCGAAGGCGGTATCCTCAGATCTAGGTCAGCCTTCCTCACGAACCTCCGACTGGATATTCCCATCGACACCGATCCGTGCCTCCATCCTTGAAGTGGTCCGGACCCCAAGCACAGTGCGGACAGGCACCTTCAGCTCGGGGTTTTTCTATCCTCCACACCGGTGATCATGAACGACATCAGCTTTCGATTTTGCTGCTCAATCCCTGCACGGAGCTGGTCCTTTGCATTCCTGGAAGTTGACAGCTAGTTCATGCTGGTAAAACCCTCGGTTTCCCGAATTCGTTGTTATTCGTGGGCCGATTGGATGCCAGGTCGCTGTGTAAAGAGCAGACAGCGTCGTGCCAGCGAGGAGAGGCGGGTTGATTAATGAGATTAGTGTATATAGTCTTGACTGGATTGCAACCCGTCTTTCTTTCTTTACCTCACCTTCGACCCAGATAAGTGTTTGAAAGGGCCCATTCACCCACAGAACCGCTTGTGGAAATCTGTTGGCTTACCTCAACATGTATGCGTATACTATCTGCGACTTTCGACGGAACGGGCGAAGAGCTGGCATTAACCGGTAACCGCCCACTATAAATTGAATTTTGCTGGGTTTTCGAATCGCGATCGGCAGCAATTCCTTATTCCACCCTCCAGGTATGTTAGGGTCAAACTAAGGCGTTCGTGAGACAACCCTTGGTTTCGCAAGGCGACGGTGAGATATGTAGGAGTTGGAGCAATTGCGCACTTCTTGGCGTCTGGACGAAGACAGAAATTTCGTGAATTCGAAATCAAATGCTTGCTCTTTTCCCTACTTATGATACTCAGGCTGCCTCAGAAGTTGTGGGTCCTCACTGGGACGTTATTGTCAGCTTCACTCCAAAGGCCTATTGGCGACCGTGAGCCCAGCTTACATAACAATAGTCAATCCGATGTTCAAAGAAGTTCAACACTTGAACAAGAACCTTGCCTTGCTCTCTTTCTATGCTGTAACTGCCTCATCATCGCGCTAGTGAATAACATCGCCTCCGACGCCGTCATTGCATGCAGCGGGAACTGGCAAGATGCCTCTTTCGTTTCCCCAACAGCCCTGCACGGTTGTGGAACGCGCCTCGAAGAAGGGGCATCGCCGATGGATTTTGGAGAAGTAGCAAGGGTAGTTCGGGATACTCCACGGAAGCCATTGCAGTATGCTTAATCACGACTCTCCTGAATGCTATTTTCATCACATGTGTTAGAAACCGGACCGGATGCGAGTGCAACGCCGCAAAATTATCACTTTAGACCCCATGAAAGTACCGTTCTCCGGTCAAAAGACGCATGACATCTCAAATTCTCCCCGCCCTGTGTTCAATTTAATGCTGTTCAATCCTCCTCAGCCTGTCATGATGGCCTACAAGTTTACTTCCAAGCCCATTCCCTTCCCTCCTGGGTCGGTGGGTGCATTTTACTACCACCCACCCGCTGCTGGTGCACCGGTTCTCAGTGGCGAGTTGCGTTTCAAGCTGTGCACGGACCTCGCCTTCTTCGCTACCTCTCCCGATCTCCAGCTTCCCAACCAGACGAATCCATGGTCGTTGAAACTCTACAAGATGTTGAAGACACCTATATGGAAACCGCTTGGCCAGGTGTTGGTCCGGGAGGGACTCGTATCGCCTGATGTGGTTGAAGCAGTTGAACGCCTACCGCGAGTGTCGCAGCAAACCAACTCACGCATTTTGTATTCGCTCGAACAGCCTTTCGAACTCGACTTGGCGCTGAGGCGCGCCACGTTCGTTTTGCTCAACCTGGAGCTTGCTGCGAGTGTGGATGTTGATCAGTTATACAAACATTCCAGGCTGGGCCGTCCCACATTCACAGGTAAATTTTGCACCTGATTTGTTGACGCGGCTGACGCTCGTAGGACGTATCAAGGCCCGCTTCGAGCTATCCACTCTCCCTGAACACGCTGCCCAAGGACCGACGCTCGTCCTGCGCGTCCTGGAACTATTGACCCCGATCGTATGCCACATTCCCGGGGTCATGTCAGACCCTCGACCGGGGGAGCTGCTCTACAAATACGATGGCGACAAGCGGCGTTACTATGCCTGGTCTTTCGGCCTCGAGAAGCGAGCGCTGGCTCCGGCATTCAGAGAGTTCATCGGCCTCCCGCCGTTACCCGCCAATACACCACTCCTTCCATTTCGCGGGTACTATGAGCAAGTCGTCCTCACCCTCTGCCCCGAGGAGATGCAATCGAAGCGACAGGGGATATTGTATATCTCTGACAGGTTTGCCGTGTACTTACGAGTGCGATTGCAGGACGGCAAGGAGGAAAAAGTCTACACCTCATACGAATACACTTCGACTGGCCAAAAGCAGTTCCCACCCAATAGCAAGGGTGTACTGTATTATCATCGGCCGTCAGCAATGCAACCCGACCTCGGTGGCGAGCTTCGGTTTCGCCTCTGCGAAGACGTCAGAGACTTCCAGAAGGGTTCAGACCTGCTCGCACCTAACGGTGGTGGAGCCTGGAGTATACCGCTCTATCACCTTGTCAAGGCCCCCCCTTCCTCAAGCTTGCCCTTCAGGACAAGCTCGTCAAAAAGGATGTTGTGGACAAGATCGCAAATCTTCCCTATGGGGTGAAAGGATACCGCCCACTATTCGCCCATGACTGGCCATTCGTGGTCGATCTGTCCTCCCCTCGCATCCGTTTTTGGCTCATCAACTCCTCCATGCTTGAGTTCGTCGATATTGGCATGTTTCGGGTGGACGGCGGGAAAGTAGCGCCATACGCAGGTGGGCGTTCTCTTGGTGCTTCGAGTATATGTGATGCAGCGACTCATTTGGGGAGTAGGTCTCGTCAAGGCGCGTTTTGAGCTGTCGACGCTGCCTGAGCACGTGGGATCCCCGGTTCTTGTCTTGAGAATCCTGGAGCTGATTGAGCCCGTGCGACACCTTATACCTGACGCCGAGGATAGGATGCCTGCACCGCAGGCAGGGTCTTTGTTCCATAAGCTCAGGCCCGGCGGGAAGCCCAAACTATGGACGTATTCTCTTGACCAACGCGCAGGCGGAGATGCTTTTATGCGTTTCATCGCGTCATGCGAGAAGGCGTAGGGGTTACGGATGCCCGACGCCCCTTCGGTATCGAGCAAACATTTCCCAATTCCGTTGCGGGATATCTGCAACTGTTGCCAACCCATAGAAATCGCTCACGGTGCTCATTATCGTGACCAGAGCACCGAAAAACCTCCGACTCGCGGACTGGACACAAAAGCTGCGGGGGGACGACCCAATTCACGAATAGCTTTGATGATGTGCTTCTACACCTTCAGGCGGCTGCCTTCATCGATATCCTCAATCGTGATCGCACGAGCTTCCGGAAGCGCTTCGAAGGAGGACAAAGCAGAGAGGTTGGACAATCAGAGTTGCGATTTGTGTTCCGGGGTGATAGCCAACTGTCTTCTATCGCTGCTTCTCTCAACGGTGCTATTTCGAGAAGACTAAACATAAGTTGACAGGCCTGAGGTCCAACGCTACGATCGCCAACGGATCGGAGAAAAAAGAAGATGGCCATGAGATATGTACCCTGCTTCGATGCATAGGTTGAATTTCCGGCCCCCTTCGGCCCACGAAACTGTCTGAAATGCAAGAGAAGCCCCGTTTCTTATCACTCAACGATGATGTCGATCAGGGCCATAGGTCTTCCGGGTTGGCATTGGGGTGCATTAACACGTCCCCAAGCCATGAGAAGCTCCGATTGCGATATGCTTGCGCGGGTGTTGCATACTGATAATGTCAGGAAATAATTTGGAGATAGATCGACTGGACGCGCCGCAACCACTCCGCTGGCCTTGAACCCGAATGCGAACACCCCTTTCATGACTGAATGAGCCCCCATCATGACGAGTTTGTGGATACGCGAGAAAACGTGTGTTGTCCCGACCTTTGGGAGCTACCCGCCCATATATCCATCATCACGAAAAAAAATAAAGCTCTCGAGCCTCGTCACCCAGACAGTCCGCCCTGAATGACGCTCGCCTCTATATAGACTCTCGACGTGCTATTTGGAGCACCAACAGGACGGAGCTGCACCCATTTCTTTGAAGTAGGCTTCTGAGAAGTAGTGGTACTTGTGACGAGGATGAGGTAAAAAAAACTCCATGCCTCATGTGTATGGTGCCTCGAGGCGAAGACAATCTAACCGTTGGTGCTCGGAGAGAAACAAGGCCCAAAAAATTGGGCTCAACGGATATTTCCGTGAAATTTCCAATTTTCTGCATTATCCCATCGTAGAAACTGCAGGCTTCGAAAGGTTATCGAAAAGAATTGAGGCGGCTGATTCAGACCTTTTCGTGTGACACGATTTCCATGTTTAGTAATGTGGCGCTGCCCTGCCTGATCCATGGCCGATCGAACGTTCGTGACGACTTCGGAGCACTTTGGGCTTCCTTGGTTATTTTATTACCAGTTACCTGAATTTATTTCCCTACCCCGGCCGATTGCCTGACGGAATTTGGCACCAGTTGCAGACGTCATCAAGCGGTACTTTATCTCCGACATGCTGCTATCAGCATTTTATCTTGCAGGAATTAAATGATAATGTATCCGAATACGTATCCAATGCCTCATTATTCATGTTCAGTGCCTGAACTACAGAACAAGAACTCGCGAGAAGAATCTCTTTGTCATGAAACAATTCCTCGAAGAACGACCCAATGTAAATGCTCCTCTTGTCGAAGTCACGACTGTTCGCGAGATCTGTCCTACGATTTGCCTCGTGTCATCTATAATGAGCTTGGAGGTTGCTACCCTGGCTAATATGGCACATTTCATTGATCCGTGTTCGCTCTGAGCCATAAGACATTTATAAAGCCTTGTATATCATACGCCACTTCCATTTTGTGTCAACAGTACTGACTCCCACTCCGAGAGAGATAAACCTCCACACACTGAGCGACGCAAGATATCCGAAGTGGATCTCCCATACGTCCCATACGCGCGGCCAGTCCCTAGCTGGCGCTTTCACCCCACCTACTCTCCCGCCCCTATCGCCCTACCACCACCTCGACTGCGAGAAGACGCGAAATGAATGGTGCCCCATATCACACTCCCTCAATTGTCAGCGCCCACACCGCACCATATAACGAAGACAATGCGAGCGCGTACGCTGCTAGCTCTATCTCTTCCCGCGAGAGAGGCAGAGGCCGATCCGTGAACGGACGCGCTGAGCCTCAACCACCCGTCAATCTATACGCCCAACAACAGCATATCGCACAACCCCAACCCGTCATGCCAGCCTATCACGCTTTGCAGCTATCTCGTCCCTCCAAGTCCTGGTTTCGTCGTTCCCCGAGCCGTTCAAACGGCCATGGACGTGCTGCTTCGAACGGGGCAGGGTCTGCACTGCATGCTTCTTCGATGCACCATTCACGCTCGGCACCACCGCCCCTCGCTATCCCTCCCGATTACGGACCCACGTCGCCTGGGATTGACGTTTCTCCGCGAAGAGGGAGGACACTCGGTACTTCCTTTGCACAGCATCACACTCCGCAGAGGGAACCCTTCTCTTCGAATCACGTCGAAGGCCCTAATATAGCACAACACTTGGACCCTATTCACAATCGGGAAGAGAAGTACAGAGAACATCCGCACTCGCAGCGTTCTGCTTCTCAGCATCCTTCCATTTCTCCGAATGCTCGCCCGACCTACAACCGAAAACGTTCAAAGTCCTACGACCCCGCTGCTTTCCATTCTCAAGGAGTGAACGACTACGCGCATCCGCCATATTCGGCAGGGAATTATGGAGCGCCGAATGATGAATTTCGTGGTGCGGAGTTTAACCCGTACGCGGCGAATTATACGACTATGCAAGCCTCATTGACGTCTCCAACTCTCGTCCATCCATCCGCGAGTCATCCACTCGTTGTTCCTGTCAACGACGGTCGAGACGGCTGGGTCGTAGTGCCTGGTAAAGGGCAAAGCTTCCGGGTTCTGGTACGCTACTTTCTTCTACGTACATGCGAGTCTCCCGCTCACTTCAGACCGCCAATAGAACCAGAAGGGCCAATCGTACGAACGCGAACATCAATCGTTCTTTGGGCGTCTAAATTTCAGAGTATTCCGTTCGCGCTCCAGAACCAACAAGACGTTCAATGCTCCAGTTCACGTTGGGCATGAAGGGGTCCAGCCGATACCTGTCAGGATGATGGCTAATCCGCCACCTGGCAGGGGTCGGCGCGATAGTTATTAATGGGACGTTTTCGAACACTGGAACTACATATCATTATGGTCGAGATAGAGTATTTTGAGTGGAGGCTCTCTTATGGACATTCACGAAACATGCTGTACAATCTTGTCGTTTTTAGGTCCCAGTTTAGGTTTCTGGTTTGATTCAGAGGTTTTCTGACATAAAAATACGATATACGTTCCCTCACCTGGCTCCGTGTTTTTTTTCACCAATGTACCTTCCACTTGATTAATTTGTGCGCCGAATGACCGACTTCAGCAGTGGTCGCGGACGCGGGGTCGTTACCTTTCGGGTATGAGCCACAGCAAGCGCGTCTAAATAGGGGCTATCATGTGATGATCGTGAGAGTAGATCTCTATTTCAAGCCCCAGTGGTAAGTACGTGAGTTGGTTGCTGCTCTTGTTGGTTTTTTCCCTCATCCCGAGCTCGTCCACAGTCATCCAAATAACCCACAAATGCAGAGGTGCCTACATATAATTGCCAACTCATGTCTTGTCCAGCGCGAGCCGAGGACCCCATGACCGGACGTGGGGCCAGTGGTGCTCTATGACGATGATATGACGGTGTCATGGAGGTGCGTCCAAGGGAGTATTTTCTTGGAAAACGACAAAGCTCATATTCTTTTCGGGCATCCGTATACAGTATACAACTCACGGCCGCTCGGTTTCTCCACTGATTCTTCGTTGATCTATTTGAAAGGTGTGTCGATTCCGCTTTCTTGCATTTGATGGATATTGAAGACGTTGTAGTATTCCGAGTTTTGAAAACTGCCATCGATTCATCATGAACACACCTTATCCTCAGCCTTATCCTCAAGCCACGACTGTCTATCCAGCCCAGGGTGGAACGTTGAGGCACCGAGGGTTCCGGACTCCTGTTGGAACTCACGGCATGGATTCCTACGGAGCAGGAGGCTACCCCTCGAGCTATGCGACGGAACACACGATTCCAACACAAGCGACCGCTGGATCGTATGCCATGGCACCTGGTAGTGCCACAGCTACGGTCATCTATCCCAACAGCCCAACCTCGTACGATGGACCCCAGCACCACCACCACCACCACCACCACCACCACCAGCCCTCTTCGTCGCATTCACCGCGACCCTCATACAGCCGTCGTCGGTCGCGTTCAGTCGGCGCCTCTCCGGCGTATTATACCATCCAGGCCCCCACCCAAGGCCAACTCGTACAGCCCACGACGCCCATGGAGTCGTATGGAAGGTCCGCTGGCGGATATCCTAGGACGTACGGTGCAGGCGGCATGGGATATGGATACGGAACCCACACCCAAACAGCGATGCCAGCGACTGCCTCCGCGTACGGCCAAGGATATTCGAGTAGCTATCCGTACGGAACACAAGCGGCGAGCGCGTATGCCTCGTACCCAGGATATTCAAACAACAGTGCGCCGTCCTCGGGTGGATTTTTCAATCGTCTCTTCGGACGTCAGCCACACCACCATAATCCGCGCATGATGGGGATGGGCGGTGCTTACGCGCAGCCGCTGGGTTATGGCTCGCAGGTCGCAGGGCAACCGGGCATGGTCGTGGCCTCCAGCTCGAGCTCGAGGAGGCATAGACGGCACCGTAGTTACTGATTCGGTGTGCGACCTCGCGCTGTGTTTTCGAATCGGGTGCGAGTGTGAGTAAACAGCGATCTCTCGTTGGTAATTGTGTTTTACAGTTAAGCTTCTTTTTTTCTTTAGCTGTGTTTGCTCAGGCGGTGTCCCGTTCTCGAGGGGCCAGGGCAGCAGCGAGGTGGAGAGGCCTGCGATGCCCGGTATTCAGAAACTCCCTATGACCGACTATGCTGACGCGTACGTCGTGGTAATACTCTATATCTTGCCAGCTGGACTGTACATGCGTATACCCTCGCGCAGGTTACTTCTGGTTCTTTTACTTATCCTGTAACATTGACGTTCGAATATCTCTTATTTAGTCAGCAGTTCCGTATGACGATCCAATACTGAAGCACTTATTTACTTCCGTCAAGTTCAATTCAAGCTTGCGTTCGCTCGTTGCTCTGCTTTGGCTTTGGCTCTCTGGCACTCTCGTTCCAACTTCCAATCCCAATCTCCAGTAATAGTAATCGTACGGGTGCCTACTTACGACTGGTATTTTTGTGACGTACATGAGTGGCGAATACATAGTAAGTATCGTCCCCAGTTAAATCGTCGCCGGCCTAACAGAAGTAGGACCGATATCCAAGTGCCAACTGCCGAATATGGGTGTGGCGCGATGGCCTAATTCGGCAGTGCTTTGGTCGACAGCATGCTTGGGCTACTCAGTCAAAGCGGGCCACAGACAACGCACAAAATACAATGGGGCCCCATATAACAATACCTGGAATAGAAACACGGCGCGCTTTGAAATTGGGCCACCGGAGAACGGGACACGTATATAAGGCGCTCGGACGGGGGTCGTTCCCCAGAAACCCCACCCCTCTCGAGCCCCACGAAGATATAACCACGCCTGCACCCTTACCATCCTCCCCTCTCCACTTTTCACTCCCTGCCTTCGAGATCTAGACCAACATCGATTTCCTATGACTGGATTCCAAATGAATCCGCCTCCACCAACGGCTACTATGCCCTTCGCTTCCGAGATTGCTGTGTTCGCCTCTGCGGTCCGTCCGCAGTGCCCGGGGACTGTGTAGACGCCTGCCGCGATGTCCCATCCGACCATCCGGTGACCTGGGAGAAAATCATTCACCCTGACCCGAAGGTCTCCCTCCGCTCTCATCGCTCATCGCCAATTCTTTGCTCAACTCAATGGCTATCGTCAGATCAGGGGATCGGACACCCTGCCACTATCTCCGCCCTTTCCGTTTCTTCCTTCAGCGCTGCGCGCCCGAGAACTTGTCTTTGTCTCGAAGACCTACGCTCAAGCGGAGTTGGAAGCATATAGGAAGCCAAAGGGAGTGAAGAGCACCTTCTCTCATTGACCCGGGCTGCTGGTCCTGTGACGAGCGGTTCGGACAATGGTACAGGCAAGAAGCGCGCTCACGACGAGGACGACAACGACAACGAAGACAGCGGCCTCGGCAGCAAAGAGAAGCGCCCGAAGGAGAAGACGCTGGCTTCGGACGAGTTCGACTCGCCCACCACCTACACGCACGGCGAGCACATCAACGTCGGTTCGGGTGACGTTGCGCGACTCAGCAACAAATCATGGAGCCGTCTTCGTCTTCGCCGCGTCGCTTCTCGCCGATCCTCCAAACGGAACGTCACTAGAGCTACCACCTTCATCGCCTCGGGATAACCCATCGAGACGTCAAGCCAGAGAACTTTTTTGTTGACGTGACTGGCCATTTTAGGATTGGCAACTTCGGCGGCGCTGCTGGCCGCCCAAAGTCTTTAGCAATGCTTCGGACGCAGCACCGTGGGATAACCCCAAATCTGTTCACCAGGTTCCTCCAGTTTTCAAGCGGTACGACGCGTTCTTCGCGACTTACCCAAGGTCGACCAGGCGATCAACCCTGACGGCATGTTCCCCTGGACGTTTGGGAATTACGTCAAGCGATATCTTTGAGACTTGCAGAGGCAGTAACACATCTTCTTGGATAGAAATAGTACATACCTAGTCACCCAAATCTCATGTATGCAACATACATTGCCAAACATATATCTTTCAAGTCTCTGTTGTTGTTCAAGAGGAAGACATAACTGAGGGATAAGCGCCGCAGTTCTGCCTTGTCACTGTTGGGTCTCGCCGAGCGACTCCTAGCTATACTCTTCGACGATTAGGAACCTCAAAGGCGAGCATAACTTATTGGTGCCTCAAAGACGACGCGGGTAAGTAATTTAAATTCGTCGACCACGACACCACGATCGTCAGAATGTCAAAGTAATCAGGTTCTACAGCATAGAAAGAGTATCAGTACATGGATAAGATGGACGATACTCTTCATTATCGCATCTAAACTCATCTAGTCTACCCTGGACTTGGACCTCTCCTCCCACCTCGTGATATCGACAACCACAAAAAACTACTCATAGATCCTTGAAGAACCGCCGAAGAACCGAAAACATCAGGCCCTGGAGTCCATTCCCCAATGTCCTTGTCTTTAGACCGCGTCCGGACAGCCCGCGCTGCTGCAATGTGCCCGATACGTGTCTCGTTGACCTGGCGGTACCTCTTCAAATCAAGTTCAGCGCGTTTGTCATCATTTATGGCCTCTCGTTCACAGAACGCCGAAGACATACCAAGCGCCTTTACTGGCAGTCCGGAAAAAAGAGAAATATCTCCAGAGCGCGATGAATCGGCGAGAATACCCCAGCGAAAGGAAAGGCAGGCGATATTTAGACGAAGTGTGATATGCAGGCAAACTTTGCGTTGTCATTTCTTAGAGCATTCGCAAGGTCGAACTTTAACACCTCCGCGCACCCGTTTCATACTGTGTCTTGAAGTCTAATTTGTCTAAAGAAGGCGATGTAGAAGGGCAATGCCACTGACATATGGAACACGAGTCGCACGTGGGGTCATTTCTTCCTTGAGAAGTGCCTCTCTTCGCGTGATTTTCACCGTTGGCTGCAGAGGGAGGGGTCTCGCGAGGAGGGGGTGCTTCTGACCGGTATTCCTTGATCCAGCAGGAGGTATTTCAGAGACCCGTAATCTCCTACGACCCCTCACACGTTCAATGAACCACTTGAAGGCGTTCCGAGCTTCGGCCCACTCGTAGAGGCCGTAGGGTTTCTTGTCTACGATTCGGTCTGCGTCGCCGTTGAAACCCCATGAGTGTTCTCTATTCGCGTATTGGGGGGTGTTGGGCCTATTAGGATATAAAATTCAGCAAAAGAGGCGAGGGACTGAATCAAATATTAAATATGAGACTGGGAAAAGACGAAGAGAAAAGGAATCCATCGCAAGAAATAAGGCAGAGGCCATGGAAGGCAATTCCGTCTTGATAAAACGAAGCATCGAAAGCAGATGGCGAACAAGAGGCCAATTGAAAGCGAACGCAAGAATGCGAATCGATGGGAGCAGAGAACCTCGGAGGATGACGAGAGAAAAGAGGATAACGAAACAAGAGGGAGTTTGGAAATGAAATACAGCAGAAATGACGCACCCTCACCTCGTTCGATTCCCTCATCTCAGCCCCACCCGCGTTCTGAACCAACGTCCGCGAAATGACCTCCATCGTGTCCACCATCACCCTAAATGACCACACATCCACGCCTTGCACCTGCGACACCGCGCTCCCACCACACCGCGCCTTCGGGTGCAGCCCGCGACCCCGGGGTAGAGGAACGGGTGGAAGACGACGTTGGGGGGTACGGACATGGCGTCGGCGAGGTTCTAGTCGATCTCGTTCAGGATGTCCTTAGAGGGCCCGCGGAGGATGGTACGAATTTTTGAGGAGGTGCATTCGGTAACTAAGATGAAGTATCTGGAGGAGGTGTTAATGGCGTCAATGATGAAGAATGGAGAGGAGACGGAGGAAGGAAGAGTAAAGACACAGGCAGAGACGACGATGCAAGGAGGGGTCAGAGAAGACACGGAGATGGAGACGACGATGGAAGAGAAGAGATACGGAGACAAGATAGAAAGAGAGCCTACGTACTCTTGCCGATCTTCTCCGTGTCAAAAAGCCCGTGTTCTCCGCTTCCCTCAGATCTTCGAACCGGTTGACAACGGCCGCGCCGACAGCGAGAACGACGCGGTTGTCGTCCGACTTCCATACGCGACGAATCGCTGGGACATTGTGTTAAGTGAAGATGTGCTGGGCTAGGTCTGTCGTAAAGTGGTGGCGTCAGTTGGGAGAACAACAAAAGTAGAGAAGAAGAAACGCACCTGAACAGCCCTTCTCAGTGACGACGAGGTCCGGTTCTCTCTCATACCTCACGGACAACATTGCCTGATCTTGCTTTAGATACTGCGCCTAAAAGGCAGTCTGGGCGAAAAGCCCAGATCTGAAACATCACGAATGTGAAGGTGAGTACTATAAGTCCATATCGTTCACAGTTCAAACGGACGCGCTCATGAGCTTGTGGAGAGTAGCAGGCGTCATCCGAATGTGTTTGAACTGAACGTGTTTGGGATGTTCAAACTCTTTGTTGCCCAGGCTGATTATCCGTTTCCAGACTGACGAACGACGGAAACGCGATTTTTACGATGGATAGACGACGGGATAGACGACGTCTATCCAACAGCGAAGAACACGATAGAGCCTAGCCGTTCGTAGGACGAGCTTCATCATCCTCAGTGCGTGGTTTTCGTCGTCATAGTCTCCTCTTTTTTACCTCTATCTAGCCGGTGAAATCCTCGTGCAATCACTCCTAACTCAAACGCGACATACACCCCATTGTCATCATTTCTGCATACAACAAGGTCCCGAAGGTGCCCTCGAGAGCGTCAAACACATTTCGATACCCATCGACGTCAACGACGACATGCAGATGGTCTCGCTGATCAAGGGACCCAGTTCGTCATGCGTTCGTCAAAGCTCATGTACAACCTCGCCCTTCAGGCTGTCCGAACCGCCTCGCAGGGTGTCAATTGCCTCAAGATGGCCGATATCAAGCGGTATGCGCGGGCGGAGAAAATCACTGGAGGCAAGATCGAGCAGAGCAAGGTGTTGAAGGGCGTCGTGCTGAACAAGGACGCACCCGAATATGCGGAGGAGGATCGAGAGGCCGAGAGTTGTGTTGTCGGACTGCCCGCTGGAGTACGAGAACTCAGACGAACATGGTGTTTCGATGGGGGCAGACTGGGCGAGGGCACAGGAGATCGAGGAAGGGCAGGTCAAGGAGTTATGCTACAAGATACAAGTTCAAGAGAGTAGCGGACATACTCATCGCGAATACTGGTGTTCGGGACATCGTGGGCGCCGTGGACGATAATGAAGACGATCTCAAGACTTTCGGATGCGTCGTCGACCATTAGATAAGCGTTTGTCAGCTTGGCTTTCCTATCGGCTCGACCTTCCAACTTTTAAAGTTGGTCTTCCAGCACCAATCCCAAAGTCAAAGTCTCAAAATGCGAATTTCGACTAATTTTATGGCAGGAAATTTAATCCAACAGCCACCACGTTTCATGCGTGACTGCTCTATCCTCGGTAGGCATGCACTTTGACAAGGCGCGGACGAGGCGCGGAAAGAATATAGGCGAGCATACAGGCTTCGCCCGCATTGTTATGCTAAAGCAAGTTTCGACCTATCAAGGAAGATTCCGATCTTCGACTCCTACGACAGACTTGTCGAAACCTGGTGTCGTGATCTACCTGATCCGAAGGCTAACAGGGACGAACTCAGCCCACGAACAGAAGGTCCTAGATAAACGAGGAAATCACCTCGAGTCACCTACTACTTCTCGCACGTTGCAATGAAACGTTTGAAGACTTCCCCGCCCGCGCGTTGGTCGAGATCATACGTCCACAGTTTGGTTTTACTGCTGTGGCCCATCTTGTACAATAAAGAACCTGCTTGGGGCATAGGCATCATATCCTCGGCATCAGGGATAAAACGTTGCACGGGTTCAAGCAGCTCCAATATCCGCAGGACAAGAACCTGGGAACCTTCATGCTCAGGTAGCGTCAAAAGTTCAAAGCGCGCCTTCACAAAGCCTGCTTTCCGAATGAATTGCTGCAGACACGAATAGCAAGAGACGCTTACCCGAATAACAAGCCATACGTGCAACGCGGAATCGAAATATGTCATGTATATCAAGAAGCTCGAACATGGAGAGATTTACGAGACCCAAATGTACCGGGCATGAGAATAGGTTGACCACGAACGGCCAGTCGAGGGCATACAGCGGGGAGTAGCCCTTAATGATGGTGGGAAGTTTCGCAATCTTGTCCACAGCGTCCTGTTTGACAAGGCCTTCCTGCAGTATGAGATCGACCATGGGCTTCTTCGCATGGGATTTGACGACATGGTAGAGGGGTACATTCCAGGGTTCCACACCGTTGGGTGCTAGCAGGTCAGATCCGTCCTGGAAGGCCATTACATCGTCGCAAACACGAAACCGGAGTTCGCCACTCATAATAGGCTCTCCCGATGATGGCCGATGATAATACAGCACTCCCTTAGTGTTGGGGGGGAATGGCTTGAGGCCGCCGGTCATGTTTTCGTATCCGGTGGAGACACGGCCCTCTTTGCTGCCCTCCAGTCGTGGTCGAAATGAGACAGTAAGCTGTCCAGATATATCAGTTACCACTTGTCCTTTCGATTTCATTTTCTCCGGCGAAAGTGTGAGGAGGTAGTACGGTAATTTCCTGTGACGTTTGCCCCTAATCTTAGCCTTAGGCAACGGGGGTAGGCCGATGAAGTCTCTGAATGCAGGCGCACGAATGCGCTTCTCGAGTGGGAAAGACCATGCGTAGATCTTGCCGCGGTCTTGTGCGCTGAGCAGTTCACCAGACCGTGGTTCTAATATTTTCCCGGGAGTGTGGCACTTGAGGGGGGTCAACAGCTCGAGAACGCGCAGGACGAGCGTTGGTCCCTTGGAAGAGTGCTCAGGTAGGGTGGACAGCTCGAAGCGTGCCTTTATTCGTCCTACTAGCATGAGCGGTGCCAAGTTTCAACGGATTCAGTAGACGACTCACCTGTGTAGATAGCGTTGCGTATCTCATTTGAGTACGGAGGGTAAATTTTGAAACTCGAAGCATGCCCGAGGCCAAGCAACACAAATGAGATGTTTTTCTGGCCTAGGTCGAGTTCGAACGGCTGTTGCAGGGAGTACAAAATCCGTGAATTCCTCTTGTTCAGCCGTGGTAGGTGGTCAGTCGCATCGACCACAGCAGGTGACACGAGACCCTCGCGAACAAGCAGTTGGCAAAGCGGTTTCCGCCCAGGTGTTGTCAACATCGTGTAGAGGTCGAGCGACCATGGCCTCGTCGTGTTGGGTAGCTGGAGGTCAGGAGATGTAGCGAAGAAGGCGAGGTCCGTGCACAGCTTGAAACGCAACTCGCCACTGAGAACCGGTGCACCAGCGGTGGGTGGGTGATAGTAAAGCACGCCCGTCGATCCATCTGGGAAGGGAATAGTATGTGAGCGGCCAGTGCTTTTGTAGGTGATGTCGAAACGCTCAGGAGGGTTGAACTGTCTTAATTTGAATTTTGGGCGAGTGTAATTTGAGATGTTGTATGTCCGTTGACCAGAGAACTGCATCTTCGTGGCATCCAATGTTATAATTTCACGGCGTTGTTTCGGCATACACTTCTTCTGCGGAGGTTTCTGTTGCACACGATGACGATGCATTCAGGATAGCCATGGAGGAACATACTGCAATTGATTCCGTCGAATATCCCGAATTACCCTTACTACTCCTCCAAAATCCATCGGCGATGCCCGTTCTTCGAGGCGCGTTCCACAATCGTACAGGGCTGTTGGGGAAACGAAAGAGACATGTTCCCAGTGTCCGTTGCATGCAATGACGGCTTAGGAGGCGATATTATTCACTAGCGCGATGATGAGGCAGTTACAACATAGAAAGAGAGCAAGGAGAAGTTCTGGTTCAATGGTTCAAACGTTCAAGCTCAAGTCGCGATCGAAACACTGACTGCTCGAGGCTTACGTAAACTGAGCTCATGAACTTGAAGTCGCAAGATTATCTTACTACCTATTTTCCGTTGATTTTCACCGTTGGCTAAAGAGGGAGAGGTTTCGCGATGAAGGGGTCCTTCGGATAGGTACTCCTTGAAGGATCGAGCAGGAGGTATAGCAGAGACCCGTAATCTCCTACAACCCTCACATGTCACAATAAACCACTTGAAAGCGTTCCCAGTGGAGGCCGACTCGTAGAGGCCGTAGGTCTTCTTGTCTACAATTCGGTCTGCGTCGCCGTTGAAACCCCATGAGTATTCTCTATTCGCGTGTCGGGAGCTGTTGGGCCTATGAGGACAAGAAAATTAGCGAAAGGGGTGAGTATGACGGTCCGTTCTGGACAAAAATACAGTAATTCACTGGCTTCTTGTACACCCCCGCCCAGTTGTACACAGTGACTTTTTGAGTGATAGGACTATGATCGGGTATGTTTCTTGAATCCTGTGGGTGAATATATGGTTGGATCACCATTTGCAACCTTTGTGGGAGAGGCGGCACTGCTTCCGCTGACAGGGATGGGAAAACATTCCAAAAGCGGAAATTGGGCAAAAAAATCGACCATCCTTCGTGACTCTTCCATGACACTAGAGACCAACTTTGAGAGTAAAAGATGTCTGAATATCATGTTCTGACTGACTGAAATGCAAATTTTGGGTTGGGCTATCACCAAGAGAGCTCCAGGGCCTTAAGATCATCTGGAGGGGGGAAATTGGTCATCGGTGATGGGGAATGTCACACCGCATCATAAGTGTGACACACCCATCATGCTGCACCTTGATCCCCCGTTTTCCTCAATTTCGAACACATAACTGCTTTTTCCGCAAGCTCCTCAACACGCTTTATTACGGTCAACACTAAACTACCTTAATACACCCCCATGGCAAAGCACGCAGCCTCCGACGTGCTAAAAAAACGCCAAGAAGAAGAGGAAAAGGCAAGAGCTTACCGGATTGCTCACGCAATTTGGCTGGATGAGCAACAGAAGCCAAAAGACAAGCGCCTGTCTTACCGGGAGGTGGCTGAGGAGGCACGCAAGCAATGGCATGCCAAGACAGGCCACTGGCTGAAGCTGAATCACAACACTGTCCGTAATCACGCAACTGGCAAAACACGTCCTCGGGAGGAGACTAAATGGGATTCATCTCATTTGAGCGCCGTCGAAGAAGAAGAGGTTGTCAATTACCTCATTGAGACGGCAGCTCAGGGCTTCGGGCTGTCACATTGTCGTTTGAAGGAGCACGTCATAGAGCTCTGCCGAGCGCATTATGGCACCTCCTTTCCTGGTCTTGGGAAGCACTGGTCCCACCGCTTTGTTGAGCGGCATCACGAACGCCTTCATGTATACCGGACTCGGCCACTCCATGATGTCCGAGGGAAAGCTGCGAACCCAGAAAACCATAAGGCCTGGTGTGATCTCGTTGAGAATGTCCAGCTGCATGGAGATGAGGGCAATGCAATTGCACCTGAGAACACGTACGCGCTGGATGAGGCAGGTTTTCAGGCTAACGGTGATGAGGGAGAAGAGCGGGTGATTGGCGGAGTGGGCAAGAACGTCCAGTACCAGCAGCAAGCTGGAACGAGGGAGACAACGACTGTCATTGTCAATATCTGCGCGGATGGGACTGCCATACCTCCAGCCGTTTTGTTTTCTGGAAAGGGCTTTGCGGTTCGGTGGAAGCAAGATAACCCTGCAGAAGCAATGTGAGTAATGATAACCTTTTGGATCATATCATGTACTTACTGCGACAAGGCTGGGATACTCGAAGAAGGGCTGGACGGATAACGAGATTGGCATCGAGTACGCAAAGCACTTTGAGCGAATGACTCGTGAGAAGGCGGGTGGCAGGTGGCGAGTCCTCTACGTCGACGGACATGGTTCACATGTCACTTGCGGGTTCTTGATGTTCTGCAAGGCGCATAAGATCCATGTCTTGTGCTATCCTGCCCATACAACTCACATTTACCAAGGTCTGGATGTCGTGATATTCAGCCCGATGAAGCAAAGGTTCGGTGAGAACCATGACAAACTCTTTCGAGAGACGGGCCAGGAGATCTCAAAAGAGAACTTCCTGAAGGTTTATGGTGACACCCATCTTGCGATACTACAACCGGAGTTAATCAAGAAGGCGTTCTCGAAGACAGGAATCATACCTTTTAACCGCGACGTGATCTCCGCCAATAAGCTCGCTCCCAGCCGCGACACCTCGTTTCGGCATTACACCCCAGTCGAGCCACCGGCTGCTGTCCGCATCATGACGGAGCTGATCATTGACACCCTCCAGCCTATCTTCATCACGTCGTCTCCAAACAATGATTCGGATACAGATTCCGAAGGTGAGGATGAGGGAGCCAGTGGGGATGCGGTTGACGAGAGAGGTGATGAGGAATATGAAGCGGGTGAAGAGGAGGAAGAAGCGGTGGCGGATGGAGAGCAGGACAAGGAGGTGGAGGATGGTGCTGATGAGGAGGTAGATGATGTTGAGGAGGGGGGTGGTGAGGCTGGTCATGAAGCGGGTGAGGAGGGAGAAGGGGAGGAACAAGAACCTGTAAATGATGAACCTGCCCACCCACGGCTTGACACCTTTCCCATCCGAGCCGCCCTCGAAGAACTTGCCAACTCTGATTGCGGCTTTCTCTTCTCACAAACGCCTATCCCATCGTCTTCTAATCCACCCGATCTGCCGAATGTTCTCATCTCGCCTATGAAATGTCGCATTACCAAACCGTCAATGTCAAGGCAAGATGTCACATACCTCACAACAAAGACGACATCCACACCCGACGAGGACGCCATGCAGGAGGCTCTCATTGCAAAAGCAGCGGCAGCAGATTACTACAAGGAGCAGGCGATCCGTATGCAATCCATGCTCGTGTTGCAGCGATTATACTGCAACAAACTGCGTCGTCAGCTTCAAGCGAAGGAAGGAAAGGCAGAGAGGAAGAAGAAGGGGCGAGGAGGTATTCTACGAGACGGCTTACCTCGTTTGATGACACATTCCGCCGTGATTCGAGCCGTCAAGGAGCACGAGGATGCGAAGGCGAAGGAGGCGCGCGACAAGGAGGAGAGGGCTGCCCAGCAGCTTGAATACGAGGAGCGGATGGCAGCATGGCAGGCACATGAGGATGGTCGGGAGGCTAGGAATGCGGCACTGTATCGCCAGTTTCAGGAGGATGCAAACAAGTGGACAGCAGCGCGAGTAGCAGCGAAGGAGGCGGGCCGCAAGCTGAAGGTTTGGGACAAAGCCCATCCAAAGCCTTTGCGTTCGAATTACAAGGAGACCCGGGTAAAACCCCCAACCAAGAAGGCGCGGAAAGATCCTGAGGAGGATCCTGAGGAGGATGTGGGTGGCGATGGTATGATAGACGAAGAATAGAACAAGTGTTTATCGATTGATCGCATCGGACCGAAGATAACTGAGCTGCGTGACACAGCCACCGGCAACGGCGTGACACTGTACAACTGCCCGGTTTTGCCCAAAAAGGGTACCCCGGCACGGATTTACTGACAGCGTGTCCATTTCTCACCCGACGGCGTTCAAATCGCACACCGACCTAGTTTCGACATATAGGCAGCTCATATATACAGAAATGAACAAGAGTTTCATCTATGACGAACAGTAGAGGGCATTTTCATTTTTGCTGTACAAGAAGGCAGTGAATTACTGTACACGATTGAAGTTTTTTTTATGAGAAACCCTAATTTAGGCTGGAGCCTGACCAAATCTGACCAAATCTGCCAGTTTCGTCCCGAGACCGACGCTATCCTCCCGGATCCGCCATCTTCGCACCGTCTCTGCTCAATTCGGCCAGATCGACCCTCCCTTTTTCTATGACCCATCGTTCCGATACGGGAGGAATCTGGCTGCGCGAGACGATTCGGGACGATTCGTACGGATTCCTCCTCAATTCTTTTTTTAAGAAACATCTAGTGATTTTTTTTCCCTCGTGTGTGGTCAGATTCGTCCCGAATCCGACCGTTTGGGACCTTGCGATCTAAAAAAAAATTATGGTTTTGGTCGGAATCGGTCGGAATCGGTCGGAATCAGGGCGATGTGTTGCAGATCGGGAGCGGTTTTGGTTTTTTTTTTGGGTGGCGAACGAAGCGGGTCTAATCGGTGTGTTTCCTGCGGATTGGGACCGTATTGGACGGATTCCGCCTGAATCTGACAGATTGGAGAGGGACTTATGAGGAAAAACGTAAATCTGTATTTTTGTCCAGTATGGCGCTGCATAGGTGAGGGACTGAATCAAATATGAAACATGAGACCGGGAAAAGAAGAATCCATCACAAGAAACAAAGTAAAAAAAACATGGGAAGGTAATTCCGTCGGTTGATTAAACGAAGCATCGAAAGCAGATGGCGAACAGGAGGCCAACTGAAAGAGAACACAAGAATGCGAGTCGAAGAGAGCAGAGAAACTCGGAGGATGGCGAGAGCAAAGAGGCTAACGAAACAAGAGGAAATTTGGGAATGAAGCACAGCAGAAACGACGTACCCTCAGCTCGGTTAGCTCCTACATCGCATTCCCACTCACATTCTGGACCAACACCCTCGGAATCACCTCCATCGCGTCGGCCACCACCCAAAATGGCCACGCCTCCACGCCACTGCCGAACTTCCACCTCCCTCGCGACTTCGCGCGGCTCCATAGAAATCGGCATCTCCGTCGTGGCACCCCCTGGGAGAGGAACGGGTGGAAGAAGACGTCCTGGGCGAGTCGGCGATGTTCCGGGCGCTCTCGTTCAGGATGTCCTTGGAGGACCCGTGGAGGAGGACCCGCGGAGGAGGGTGGTACAAGTTTTTGAGGAGGTGCATGAAGGTGAAGTCCCTGGAGGAGGGGGTGTTAGTAGTCATCGAGGATGAAGAAAAAGGAGAGAAAGGAGAAGAGATAAAAGGGAAAAGACGGAGACAGAGACGGCGATGCAGGAAGAGGGGTCCGAGAATGCACGGAGAATGCAGACGACGATGGAGGATGAGAAGAAATGAGAAGAAAAGATAAGAGGAAGAGATACGTACTCAGAGTAGTCTTCTCCATGCAAAAAAGCCCGCATTCCGTTCGAACATGAACATCTGCTTCTCTCAGATCTTCAACACGGTTGATGATGGTCGCACTGACAGCGAGGGCGATGGGGTTATTGTCCGACTTCCATACGCGACAAATCGCGGAGACGTTGTCTTCCGTGAAGATGTGGTAGGCCAGGTCTGTCATTATAAGATGAGTATATCAGTCTCGAGTTGCCAACGAAGGCAGAGAAAAGAGAAAGCACTTGAGATACATACCCTTCTCGGCGATGACGATGTCGGGTTTGAACTCCAGCATCTTGTAGCACAACTCTTCGACCCGCTCCTCCTCCATCTCCTGCGCTCTCACCCAGTCCGCCTCCTTCAAAAATTCCATGTTCGTCTGTAACTCGCCCTTCTTGTACGACAACGGGCAATCCGACAACACAACTCTTGGCCTTTCGATCCTCCTCCGCATGTTCGGGTGCGTCCTTGTTCAGCACGACGCCCTTCAGCACCTTGCTCTGCTCGATGTCGCCCCCAGGGATCTTCTCCACGCGTGCGTAATACTTGATGTCGACCGTCTTGAGAGACAATTCGGACAGCTTGAAGGGTGAGGTTGCACATGAGCTCTGGCCAACGCATGACGAACCGGGTCCCGATGGAGGCCTTGGTCAGCGAGAGCATCTGCGTGTCGTCGTTGATGTCGATGCTCGAAATATGTTTGATGATCTCGAGGGCCACCTTCGAGGCCTTGTTGTATGGGGAGAGATGTCCCGTTTGAGTTGGGGGTGATTGCGTGAGGATTTCGCCAGCCGGATGGAGGTAAGAAAGAGGAGAGAAAGGAGTAAAATTGCGTACCGAGGACCGTAACACTTGTTGTCCCGTCGCCGGATTCCTCATCCTGCGTCCAGCTGAGCTCAATCATGTTTTTCTCTGCTGGATGGGCCACGTCAATCTCGCGCCTCCGTGGCTCGTTGATCTGTAACCGGATGATCGGTTTGGGTAACAAAGACTGGATATGAACATACAAGATGCCTCCCAGAGGATCCGAGATCGTCTTCAGCATGGCTTTGGCTCCAAAACGCGTTCGTATGGCGCACCCTACTGTTTACAAGCTCACGACACAGCCGTTTGAACGATATGGACTTAGTGCTCACCTTCGCAGCCGTGATGTTTGAGATCTGGGCTTTTCGCCTAGACTGCCTTTCAGGTGCAGTATCTAAGGTAAAGATCAGCATTTCCCGGAAGTTCAAGAGAGTAGCGGACGTACTCATCGCAAATACTGGTGTTTGGGACATCGTGAGCGCCGTGGACGATAACGAAGACGAAGGAAGACGATCTCAAGACTTTCGGATGCGTCGTCGACCGATAGGCGTTTGTCAGCTCGGCTTTCCCCAGTTGCGACTTGACCTCTGCTTGACCTTCCGACAACTTTTAAATCTGGTCTTCCAGCGCCAAAGGCAAAGTTTCAAAATGCGAATTTCGACTAAATTACGGCCAACAACCGCCATGTTCCGTGCGTGATTGCTTTATCCTCGGTAGGCACGCAATTTGACGAGGCGCGGAAATCGACACGTCTTTCGAATAGATCAACGAAGAATAAGTCGAGAAATCGAGTGACCGGGGGTATATGGGAGCCTGAAAAATATGTGGTCGCAATGTCACTTATGAGCCAGGGTCAGATATCTCACTACTTTGCGAATCCGATCCCATACTCCAGCCTTGTTCTTGGTTGGCGTGAAAGGGCTACGCCGAGAAACAGGAATCCATGCCCAAGACGTGTTGACGACGGTCGATTCCTTCAATCGGGCTGCGAATCCGAGGTCTTCCTCCTAGCATCTCTCTGAACGAAAGGCCACAAACGACGACAAGGGACAAACGGGCTGGACTCGAGCGGTCCTTCCAATCTGACAGCCGCCATGTTCTACATGTGAATACCCTATCCTCGACGAGCATGCAATTCGACGAGGCGCGGAAGGAATATCGGTGAGCATACAGGCTCCGCCAGCACTGCTATGCTAAAGCAAGTTTTGACGCGCCAGGGAAGGTTTCGATCTTTGACTCTTAGAACAAACTTGTCGAAAACTCGCGTTGCGATCTAGCTGATCCGAAGGCTAACAGGGACGAATTCAGCCCACGAACAGAAGGTCCTAGATAAACGAGGAAATCACCTCTAATTTCCTACTGTTTCTCGCACGTTGCGATGAAACGTTTGAAGACTTCCCCGCCTGCGCGTCTGTCGAGATCAAACGTCCACAGTTTGGGTTTACCACCGCGGTCATTCCTGTACAATAGAGAACCAGCTTGAGGCATGGGTATCATATCCTCAGCATCAGGGATGAGGCGCTGCACGGGTTCAAGCAGCTCTAGAATCCGCAGCACAAGAACCTTGGAACTTGCATGCTTAGGTAACGTCGAGAATTCGAAGCGCGCCTTCACGAAACCTATTTTCCTAGTGAATCACTGCCGACAGGTATGGCAAGGAACACTTACCCGAATACGGAGCCACATGTGAAATACCGAATCGAAATATTTCACGCATATCATGAAAATCAAACATAGAGAGATTGACCAGGCCGAAATGTATCGGGCATGCGGATAAGTTGACCACGAACGGCCAGTCGAGGGCATACAGCGGGCGGTATCCCTTGGACCTAGCGATGGAGGGCAATTTCACAATCTTGTCCACAACCTGCCGTTCGACAAGACCTTCCTGCAACATGAGATCGACCAGGGGCTTCTTCCCACGGGATCTGACGACATGGTAGAAGGGAATACTCCAGGGCTCCACACCGTTGAGTGCTAGCAGGTCGGATCCGTCCTGGAAGGCCGTTACATCGTCGCAAACACGAAACCGGAGTTCGCCACTCATAATAGGCTCTCCCGATGATGGCCGATGATAATACAGCACTCCCTTAGTGTTGGGGGGGAATGGCTTGAGGCCGCTGGCCATATTTCCGTATCCGGTGCAGACAGGGCCCTCCTTGCTGCCCCGAAGTCGCGGTCGGAATGAGACGGCGAGCTGTCCAGATACATCAGTTATCAGTTGCCCCTTCGGTTTCATTTCCTCCGGCAAAAGTGTGAGGAGGTAGTGCGGATATTTTCCGGCACATTTGCCCTTAATCTTATCCTTGGGCAACGGGGGTAGGCCGATGAAGTCTCTGAATGCAGGCGCGCGAATGCGCTTCTCGAGTGGGAAAGACCATGCGTAGATCTTGCCGCGGTCATGTTTGCTGAGCAGTTCGCCAGGGTGGGGTTCCAACATTTTCCCGGGAGTGTGACACACAAGAGGGGTCAACAGCTCGAGAACGCGCAGGACGAGCGTTGGTCCATTGGAAGAGTGCTCAGGAAGGGTGGATAGCTCGAAGCGTGCCTTGATACGTCCTGCTATCATGAGCGGTGTCAAGTACCAACGGATTTAGTAGAAGACTAACCTGTGTAGATAGGGTCGTGTATGTCAGTTGAGGCGTACGGAGCGCAAAATTTGAAACTCGAAGCATGCCTGAGGCTGAGCAACACGAATGAGGTTCTTTTTTGCGCTAGGTCAAGTTCGAATGGTTGTTCGAGGGAGTACAAAAAACGTGAATTTCTGTTGTGGTTCAGCCGTGGTTGGCCGGCGACCGCCTCGACCGTAGCAGGTGATACAAGTCTTTCATGAACGAGCATCAGGCGGAGTGCCTTCCAGCTGGGTGTTGTTATCATTGAGTAGAGGTTCAACGACCATGGCCTCCCTTCATCAGGGAGCTGGAGGTCGGGAGAGGTTCCGAAGAAGGCGAGGTCTGTACACAGCTTGAAGCGCAGCTCACCGCTGAGGACTGGTGCGCCGGGAGAAGGTGGGTGGTAGTAAAACACACCGGTTGACCCAGGGGGGAAGGGGACATGTGTCCGCTTTTGAACGGACATGTATGTAACAGTGAAATATCGAGGGGGATTCAATTGTGTTGCACCGAAGTTAGCAGTTTTGCAGCCTGAGATGTCATAGGTTTGTTGGCCGGAGACCTGCATCTTCGCGGCATCCAAAGTGATAATTTTGCGAGGGCGTGTTGGAATTTGCTTTGGTTTCTAGAGTATGCGATAAAAATGTAGAGTATTCCGGATAGTCACGGTTGAACATACCGCAATGGCTTCCGTCGAATAACCCGATATACCCTCGCTACTCCTCCGAAATCCATCGCCGATGCCAGTCCTTCGAAGCCTGTCAGCGTTCCACAACCGTGCAGGACGTTTGGGGAGACGAAAGAGGCGTCTTGCCAGAGCCTGTTGCATGCAATGAAGACGTCGGAGGCGATGATGAGACAATCAACTACGGCGTTCTTGAGGAACGTTGAAACGCTGACATAAGCATCACGGCGATCACCGAAGACTTGCGCCGGAGCCGCCTTTCGTCAAGCCTGAGAGGAATTATAGACCACGCAAGAGGTTTGCTTGCGGAGGAGATCTTCCCTAGACACTCTCGTTCTCGTATTCAAAATCATTGGTCTTGATTCGACAGATTATGGGGATAATCATGAGGCGTTGGGAGCGGGAAAGGTTGGAACACAACGTTATAATTTGATGTAGAACAAGCAACACATTTGTACACCGATACTATACGACTTCATGTCCATGAAAGCAACAGAGCAAGACGAGAGCAAGCATACAACAATATCGAAGGGCAAGAGCGATGAACGACTAATAGCCCGGAATTTTTTCCTTCATCAAATAAATTTTATTCCAGAGCTTCTCAACCACGCCGGCTGCGAGATACTCATCCAATTCGTTGACGCGCGCCCAATTTCCCTTCTTCACGGCTTCTTTCCTTGCAGTCCGACAGTACCGAACAACATGACGCTTCCTCGCATCTTCCCTGGTGAAAAACTCCCCCATCTTGCACGGACAGTTGTACTTCTCCGCGCAAGAGAAACCTGGTCCTGACTGATGGACCGTACGACAATGCTTTCGCATGTCGTTGATGTTCACCATGATCGTCTCCTTTTCCTTCTCGTCACACTTAAGACACCAATGTGTCCCGTCCTCCAGTGTGGTGAAGTAATCGTCCACGTACAAGGCCGCGGAAGTGGAAGACCCGGAAGACGAAGCAGGCATAGCCGTCGTCGTAGCGGACGAAGATGAATCATCGGCGATGACGGCGGTCCTTCGCCGCTTGCGCGGTGGCTCGCTCGAGGTGGTCGACAAAGTATTCTCGTTGACAGTATTCGCCGGCGACGGTTCCGCCAGACTTTCAGGAGATGGCGGAGTGGAAGGCGAGTGCCGTTTGGTAGCCTGTTCATCATCTGGCTGGATAGCCCTCAAAGCACGACGTTCCGGGGTATGTGGCACCGGGAAAACAAAGTCAAATTCGCAAGTCGGAAGAGAGATGGTGGCAGGGGCGTTAGCAGGGGGTCCGTTGTCTCCCAGCTCTGTTGTAACATGGCCGAGTGGGAGATCAGCTGTGGGTATAGTCGAATCCGTGCGCGAAACACCGTCGTCTTCCACGGCCGTCTCAACGTCGTTCAAAAAGATGGGGAATAATTGTGAAATGTCCCAGCCAGCATTGAGCTCGAAGGGATCAAAGTGGGGAGGTTGCAGTCCGGTGCCGTCGAACATCCCATAGCCGGGAGATGGTGGAGGAATTGGTAGGAATTCTGAATACCTGCCCGTCCGGAGTGCAAGGGAGGTGAAATGCGTCAGGCTGTTCAATGAGCCTTCATCCGCAGGGGAAGTCCATTCTGCTCTAGAATATTTAAATCAGTAATCGAGTGGATAGCAGAGTGTAAGATACTCACTGTGTCAACAACATAACTTAACGTATAAAAGCGGCCAAATAAAAAAAGGGATAGAGGATATGCCGGATGAGTGGCGAGGGCAAGGGACGAGGGGCCAAGTTACAAGACGTGGACGTAGTCCACCGCTGTTTTATAGCGAAGCGCAATATCCCTACGCCCAGCTAGGGGAAATATCTACACCTCAAATAGGCTACTTACTTTGATTATACAGAGCCCGTGAACCGGGCCCATTGTTCAAGTCACACTTTAGGAGTACCATGCCAGTAAGTATCGGCTGCAATCACCAGCCAATTTGTTTACGTGATCAGGGACCCCTCGAGCGAAATAGAGAGCAGATCGCCAACAACCGACCGATCACCTGTGCTGATGTGTGCACCAATTGGGGTATATGGGCGCAATTTCCGGATTAACTAACGCTCATTCTACCTCCAGCGAAAAAAATGGATTTTTTTTGCGATTTTTTCCTATGTCTCGAGTATGATGGGGGGCTGGTGAAATTTCGTGATATGTGAAAGGCAGACCCAATGTGGCACCCGGAACTGTGGATAGCCGAGGACGGGCCACGAACATAAACATCTAAACGGGGACGGTCGTCCAATCATATCTCCGGCTTTTTTTCCAGAGTTCGAGTCATGGTTTCGATTGGCCCTTGGAAGCCAGAGCTTGCTTTGTCTCGTTTTCGCTGGAAACCAGGGTCGCGAATGGAAGCGCGTGAACGCTTTGGCGCAGCGCGGACTGCCTCGCGCTGCTATATCTAAACGCCGGCGTGCGGGAGCAAGGATCTAACAAAATCTCATGAAGACCTACTTGAACAATGTAATGACCAAGGCATAGGAGGAATGTGCCCGGCCTGTGCGGTCCTCCTTTTCGGGTGGGGGCGCGGTACATGAAGACTTCTCATCGAGCAAACTCCGGAAGGGATTCCACATTTTTAAATTCAAAATATGCTGCGTATTACTTGGCGTATATGACCGGGTTATCATATTGCGCCCTGGATGGCTCTATTTAAGGAGCTTCAGCACAAAGAAGCCTTGACAAGATCTGTTCCACACCTTTTCGGTAACTGATTAAACGAGTAGAGGGGTTGTACGCACCAACCAGACGCTTCCGCCCTTGCGAGTTGTGTCCGCCGTTCATCATTTATCTAATTACAACGATCGCCTACGTTAGAACCACGCTGGAAGGCTCTTACATCTTCGCAAACGCCCTATAGCTGTTCGTCAGCTTATCGGTGGGCAACGGGGGAAGGCCGATAAATTCTCTGAATTTTGGTGTAAGAACGCGCTGCTTAAGAGGGAGCGCCCAGAGTTTGTACTGTACGCGGTCATGGTTACAGAGAAGTGCACCAGCCTGAGGCTCTGCAATTTCCCCAGTTGTCCACCACTCGATGGGGTGTCAGCACCTCCAGGACGTGCAGGACAAGAGTCGGGTCTTGGGCAGCGTGTTCAGGAAGCGTGGAAAATTCAAACATGCCTTTACGCGTTCTACGAGCATCAGCATCGCCGGTGGGCTCGGTAGGAGTGACTCACCTGTGAAGTTGGAGCGGCCCGCGAACTTGCGGATATTCAGGTTGAGTATCATGAGCTTCATAGCGAGGCGCAGGCTCAGCAACACGAAGCAGGACCTTACTTTCCCCAGGTCGAATTCGAACGGCTGTTTGAGTGAGTACAAGACTCGTGAATGGACCTTGAAGTTCACCCGGGGTAGTCGGCGAATCGCGTCAACCACAGCAGGGGACACGAGCCTCTCCTGGACGAGCAGCTGGCCGAGCGATCGCCACTTCGGTGTTGTCAACATCGTATGAAGGCTTATCGCCCATACCTTCGACTGACTTGGGAGCCGGAGGTTGGGGGAGGTTGCGAAGAAGACGGGGTCATTGCACAGCTTGAAACGCAGTTCCCCGCTGAGAACCGGTGCACCAGGGATAGGCAGGTGATAGTAGAACACACCCGTCGACCCAGGCAGAAAAGGAGTGGGTGGGTCATTTTGCTGATCTGCGGTAGGTAGGATTGTCGAATCGAGCACCTTGGTTGCCTGAGATGTCATACATGCATCGACCGGAGAGCAGTATCCTCGTGGCGTCCAACATGGTAATTTTGCGAATTTCCGCTTCTTCCTTAGAGGTTTCTAATATATGCGATGAAGGCGTATTTTAGGACAGTCGTGCAAGGACCTACGTCAATCGTTCCTGTCGAGTAGCGCAAACGACCCATGCTACTCCTACAAGCGCCATGTCTCGTTGTTTCAGGGTGAGTAGGAAAGCGAAAGAGGCATCTTTCCGGGTGTAATCCATGCGTAATGACGCTTTCGGCAGCAATGGTCGTCCACTACTCAACGATGGTGGTAAGAAGAGATTGCAAAATTCTGAACCCGAATTGTGACGGCAAGGTGCAATCACGTGGTCCAACGCGATCTCAACGCGCCCCTATTCAAACGCGACGAAAGCTTGACACAATTATTCTTTGTGGACCTTTTCTTTGAGGTAGAATATGCTTACACGGGTGTAATCTGCAATCATGAACGTGGATTTGTGCTCGTACTTGAAATACATACACTATGATTCCAACAGCCACAATAAACTCCTTAAATTGGTTCTCAGAGAGCAATATAATCCATACAGCGCCTTAGTCGTTATGCATCGAGCTTCTTCTTCGCCCACCACCCCAGACAGAATGTACGTATCGAGCTTCCTCAACTCTTCTCTATCTCCAGCCTTGAGTGCAGCCACTCGCGCCCTCTTGACGTATGTGATGACATGACGCTTATCACTGTCCCTTCTCGTATACGCACGCTTGTCGGGGCACGGACAATCAAACTCCTCGGTACAGACGTGCTCCGGGATTTTGTGGACCTTTGCTTCTGTATGACGAATAATATCGCGCTCGTACTGCTGCAAAAAGATATAACCCGCCTCGCGACAGAGCTTGCAGTAGTATTTTTGGCCGAGGACGTAGTAATTGGCCGTACTCTCGGTACACTCCGGTGGGGGAGGTGCCTCCGTTCGTATACGACGCTGGCGCTTCCTTGGAGGCTCTTCGTTCTCCGCATCTTCGGGAGGTGTCGGTGGACGTGCTTTCGCCTTTCCTTTGCGGTTGGCAGGCATCTTCCCTGTTGGAGTTTCGCTCGTGGTTGCAGGATACGTCGAAGTGTTGACAGTGTGCATACGAGCATCGGCCTCGTTTTCAACAGCGGATAGAGTCTCCCTCGATTAGAACTTAGGCCCGGAGCCCTTGAAGGCGAAAGTAGATGATGGGAGCGGAGCCGCTGGGTTGGATGTAGTGATAGCCTCCTCAGTCTCTTCAAGATCGAAATGGGTAGCGATCGGAGAGGCCAACGCAGATGAATATTCGGAGGAAGGAGAAGGCAGAGAAAGGCCGTCACTGCTGCCGCTCGGTTGCACAAGCTCGTAGAAGGCCTCGGGATTGTATGCCACGGGCTCTGGGATGAAATTGACGTCGAAAAGAGAGCTGGACTCATTCTCACTTCCCGGATATTAGTTGTGGCTTGGCTGCGAGACGAAAGGAGACACTCACTTCAAGACATGCCACTCCCCGACGTTGAACGGGTCCGAGAAGTGCTGAGCGGGAGGAAGGAGGAAGTCCAAGCCTTGCAATTCGTCGGCAGAAATAAAGAGATTGTTGTACATCTTGGGGATAATCGAAAGAAATGAGATGGGGGTCTGAGTGAACTGGCGATGAGGGTGAAAACGGCGAATGCCCCGGGGAGAGCCAAAGCGCTGTTAAATAGCAAAGCGCAAACGTGAGCCACTCGTCGAATAGGGGGCGAATGCGCGTTCAACCGCCCCGTGCAGCCGGTCAGTCTCACGGTCAATCCCATTGTTCTACGACTAGAGAACGAGGTCAAATTGGAAGTAATTGAACGGGCAAAGTCTCTACGCAATTTCTGTCCGAATGGGGGTGCACCGTGAGTCAGGAGCTCGCTTAGGGTGGGGAGAGCGTCGGAGTTCGCACTGCATTTGGTCGACGGGCCAAAGCACACGAGGAGGTGATTCGTCCGACCTACAGCCTCCGCGTTCTTCAGCATACTCGAAGATGTAAGCGAACTCACTTTGGAGAGCTCACAAAGTTATTCTCATGCGCCGTCAGAGATCTTCAGAGATCGAAATCGGTGCTTGTCCCTTATCTTTCATAAAGTCCTAAAAATCAGAGAAAAATATGCGATATTTGGAGGACTCGTACCCACACATTTTGGATCAAGAGAAGGCGCCTATAAACGCAAATCATCACATACACGAGGAAGATCTGCTTCCGTTGATCAGCCCTGCTCGATGGGGATGAGAAACTATCAGGCACTGAGGTAAGTAGCAAATAATTTACCGGAGGCAAGGTCACCTAACGGAAGTCAAAATACGCGAGCCGTCGCTTATTCCACCTCATTCCCCCAATTCGAGTTGCTTCCTCCGTGACCGTCCCTGTGTCGTTGAAAAGAGGGAACAGTCGGGATATGTCCGAGCAAGCATCGAGTTCAGAGGGATAGAAACGAAGAGCTTGTGGTGTGGTATCGTCCAACCTTTCATAGCAGGAAGGCGGCGGAAGAACAGGCAAAACTTTGAATATCCGCCCGTCCGACGGGTCTTCATGTATGCGGGAAGCCTGTTCAGCGCTAGAATGTTTAAGTCCGTAGGTGGATAGTAAAGCATAAGGGTAGGGCTACTCGCTGTTTCAGCGACATTATTCGCTGGGCGTGAACGCGGTCTGCTGTTGTCTTACAGCCAACGCCGTGGAAGGACGGTAGAGAAGCTGGGCTGCATCATATCTAGATGACACGGAACAGGGGGAATGGATAAGTGATTCTACTCGTACAAGGGAGAAAGAGAAGAGGTCGTACCGGTGAAGAATGTGCTTGACTTTCGTAGGGTCGCTCATCAGACGTTTGTCGGATCGCGGCACTAGAATGAGGGGAGAGAAATAGTTGAATGGCTCCTCCGGTCAGTTTAAATATACTCTTGCCTCCTTTGTGCTACAGATCCATGAATAGCCTCCAGCGAAACAAGACTGGGATGGTGGAACAAAGATCTTTATTTCACGCCTTTTAAATAGGCCGGGCCTACGAGAACAAAGAGGCGTTTACACCCAGTCTGAAGTCAACATGCGCTGAAAGCCTTTATAGATGCCTCCCGCTGGAGACGAGACAAGCCAAAAGTAACACCATTCCCCAGTTCTGCTCGAGTACGTGGAGATAGTAGTGACGGCGACCACCCACGATACAATCAATGGACATAACCATGGATCTCTGCGGACGCTCGCCTGAACGTTACCCCTTTGCTGAAACAAGAGAAGTCTAAGGAAACCAACGAAGTGGGTGGTCTCATTCGACACACTCGTGAATAGGGGGATGTGTCACAGACGAGCGACGGACTGCGGAGCGGTTCTATGTCCAGTTTGGAAACACCCAACGAAGCGGAGCGTATGCTGAAGGGGGAAGAAAACTGAAGATTGCATATACGGGTTGGTTACAGGCACCTAACGCACGCGTAATGCAGGCGCTCGATACGGAATTGAGGAAATTTCGTCATCGCGAGGGATCCGAATGCAACTCCGCCCGCTGATGTCTAGATTCACACTCGTACGCATAGCGAGCGGCGTGTCGTACCAAAGGTTGCGTTTCGGAGGATCGAAGAAGAGGGAGACTGGAGAGAGAATAGAGAGAATTCATCGAGAGCAGGAGAACCATAACCTCGGACCTTCGAACTTGAGCGAAGGCCGATGAAACGGAGGTAGACTGAGCAGTGAGAGTTAGCTATGACCGGGAGATCCGTACGAAGAAGCCGATCATGCGACGAGCATACGCAGACACCTTCGAGCTGCTGGAAGGACATAGAAATGCATACCTGATGTCTTCGTCTCAGTTCATCGACCAACCAGGGGAAGATGGAGTATATGCGCGGTCCCTCGATGGCGAGAGTGGGCAGAAGGAGATCAAATAAAGATGACGTACCGTAGACTGCAGTCCTGTGGCTGCAACAGTCGATGGAGGACGCCTAAATACAAGGCGTGTGCGAGGCCACGAGGGAGGCCTAACAGGAAGAGGAGGTGGCGAACGAAGGAAACTCGGGTGGAGGAGAGCGAGGACAAAGCGTCGCCGGCTACAGCCGAGAATAAACAGGCACAAACGGTGATCTCCATTTTCTCGCCTTCCTTGATTTCTTCCCGTCATTACTCCTAGGCCACTCTATGGATCATCCTGCAATCATTTCGGACAGTCTAGGGGTGCCCTACTCTTCCGTAAGCCAATCCCCAATCCCGCTTGCAAACACGGCGTCATATTAACATCCTCCAGTTTGTAGACTGTGTTCGCGCACGGTGACGCACCATTTTGCTCAGACGCGCCTCTAATCCAACGCAGCTTGCCCGCCTCAGCCTCTTGATACCACACAGCATCTAAAGACTTATTTTATTATAGTCTGACGCACTTAGGAACTTATCCAGCGCCGGGGGTGCCTTACCCGTTTCGAAGTTTCAATATCGCCCAGGGGTCACATGGATCAGCGTGGATGGGGGAGAAGTGGATCGACGGTCTGTTGGCATGTTTATGCCTTCGCCGCTGCCAGGCTGGGCGGGAGCTGGAGCAACTGGTGCTGGGGAGCGCTAGGGTCCTTGCGCCGTGGTGGAAGGTTGCAGATGGGAGAGATGGTGAGTATTCAACCACTGGTTTCTTGACGTCGCCCTTACAGAGGTATTGTACGATGTGCCCCAACTCCACCCGCTGATCAAGTTTTCGCCATAAATCCTGTTCCTTCTCTGGATTTCGTGAGCGCTTCGTTCCAATTTCACAAGGACTGTGGTACGAATTTCACGATCGCTATCCCGCTTATTAGCTCAGGTGGACGAGGCACCACATCCACGCCCGGGCTCGTCTACGTCAATTCATGGGCCTTCCGATCATTTACACCACACTCTGAGCCTCCGCCGGGCATCTGTGGGTATTCCAACACCAGAGAAAGACATAGGATATCAGGCTGTCCACTTCGGCACCCTGTTCGACACTAGGTGAAGTTTGGGCAAGTCGAATAGATCGAGACGGAGGCGGATGAAAAGCGTAATGTGAAGGAGGATCCGGTGGTGGTGATGAGGGCGGGAGAAACGTTGGCGTAAATCCAGACGAGGAAGGAGGAGTAGACGAGCATTAAGTGAGTTTTTTTTCGACGTTTTTGCTTGGCGATACTCCGAGCTAATAATGATTCTCAGCGATGTATCTAGAACAATAATAGACTTAATTCCATTCTCTTTTCACGCCCTATGCGCGTCCGCGGAAGTGCCACGAATTATCCCCTACCTCAGATACGAGGGCCTCCGGTCAGCTTTATTGCGAGAATCAAAAATGAAGATCGATCTCCCGTGACTGGACTACATTTAGTGCCGCCGTCTAACACCGACCCGAAAGTCGCACTGTCTATCTCACCTCAACGTCTCCATTCTTTTGACCTGCAACGCCCTAATCTTGAATATGATTCGCGAGAGGAACCACAGTTGTAACCCGTCTACCGCCGTCACTGCCGCGAAGGGTGCTCCTGGCGTTTTTTCCGTAGCTGCCTTCAGCCTTTCCTAGAATATACGACTCGGAAGACTATGTTTCGGTTCGCGGTGTAAGTGCCTCAAAACGACGTCCTTCTACCTAATCGTACGTTATGCGACATCTCTTCTTGTTCTGCACCCTCGCATCCGGTCTTTTCGCATACTTCAGATTCCTTCATCGGCCAGAAGAGGGCGAATACTGTACACCTATGGCCGTCACGGTCGACCCGAGAGCGATACATTGAAGGTTCACTCTCGGTATCGAAGCCAGTGGATTTCGGCGAGTCTTGACATTCTCCGTTCCCGTCACTAATTCTCTTCGCTTCGCTTTTTATTTCCTTCACTATCTTCCGTAGGTCTTATGGCTTTCCTGGATACTCTTTGGACATTTCCGGGACACTTTTTGGACATCAACGGTGGATAGGAGGGCGGTGTCAATGGTTCTCTCTGGAGATGGAGATGAAGATACGAGTTGAGGTAGCTTTATAGCGAACCATCCCGCTCTGTAGTTAACCCGCCCCTTCGTGTCTCACAATGTCAGTTATTTTTAAGCGTATTTCAAGGAAGAGGGAGTCTTTCGACGGATGTAAAGAGGAAGTCGGAATTAAAAATTACACTAGTGGTTCACAGATACAGACAGCACGAAAGCTAGAAAGCTACTTGATAAGAAGGTTCGGGATGATAGTATATTCGAAAGCATAAACAAAGCAAACAGCGGTAGTCCGGTTGAAAGAGAAGGGACGTCAAAGCAGCCTGTCTCTCTTCAACCCCGCCTCATACGCGTCCACCCTATCGACGCGCTCCTTCACCCCAACTCGATCGCCTTACTCCTCTCCGAGATGATGTACCCACGTACATGCCGCTTGTGAGAATCCTTCCTCTTTCCCAAAAGGCGCGGCTTGCCGCAAGGCCACCGATAAACCGTATCCCTGCACAGTACTCGCTGGGGGTTGTGGGCCTTGGCATTCTCCAGTCCAGGTGACGGACAACGTCCTTTTCGGTGTCTGCATATGCGGGAACAACGCAGATTTTGCACCGGTAGCGTCCGTCGGGAAGGTGAGTGAAGCTGGATGAATGGATAGACGGAGGTGGCGAGGTGGACGATGCGGATGAGACGTGGGACGACGACGGGGAGGAGGAGGTGGATGGGAGGACCCGGAGGGAGATGAAGAGGACATTGACGACCCCGAGTGAGGGCTGGCTAGCGCTTGTGCTATGCAGCGCGGTGGGTGTCGCCTGCACCCTCACCCCGGGCCTCCGGCGCTTCGTGGGCGGCCGTTGTGCGACTGCTGCTGCATCGTCGTCGTCAACCCTTCGTCGAATCGCCCTGGGGCCCGAATGAAGGTTTGAACCGCTCACAGTCGGTTGGACGGACTCAAGAGCGATGCGTTCAAGTTGAAGTCGACTAGTCCCGGCAGGACGAAGAAGAAGCGGGCTGGTGTAGACTTGAGGATCCGGAAGCCTGCGAGCTCGCCACCGTGTTTGCCTGATTCACGGATGTGGCGATATATGTCGCCGTATCGCCCCGTGGTGTGCGCACCCTGACGTGCTTCACAGAGCCTGCAGTGGTATCGACCATTTGCCTTGTAGAACTCGTCAGAAGTAAGTGGACTCAGGCGCGGCTTCTTCATGGGTGGTTCCCCTTCATCCTCAGTCGCCGAGGAATTCGAAGGAGGAGGTGGAAGCGGTTGAGACGCAAATGGGCCAGCCATCCCGAACGTGAACGGCAGCACTGATGGGAGTGCAGGAGACGTGCAAGGATCCGAGTTCGCAGTTGTTGCCGTTGGCAATTCGGGAGGAGAGCACAGGACAGAGGGGAAAGGATAATCGGTCGTTGGAGTAGGAGAGAGGGAGGGATGCGTTCCGTACTATAGCTGCTGGCCCGGGGGGTACGGCATCGTTCCGGAGGCGTAGCGTGTCGGTGTCGGAAATCCAGTCTCTTGCGAAGGGTATTGTGCAGCGTGATGGGTGAGAGGAAGGGATGAGCGCGGTAGTAGGGGCTATTTAAAAGTAGTAATAAGCATTCATTGTATGAAATGCTAAATCAATCGGCGTACCTGGCAGCCGGATACGTCAAAAGATCTTCGTTTACAAGAACAGCATAGGCGCTTTGATACCTGCTGGATCAGCGACAGTATCGCCGCAGAAAGCGACAATCAACCGGGATCGATTGACGTGAGTGGCAAGGACGATCGAGTGGCAGTGAGCGGGCTGGTTTGGCTGCGACGTGTCCGGATGCGGTCCGCTGCTGCAGCCTGCTTTATAGCAGATGCCATGGAAGAGCAGTAGAGAAGCTGGACTGCATCGTATCTAGATGATACGGAACAGGATAAGCGGTTCTATTCGTACGGCGAAGAAAAGAGGTACCGGTGGAAACTGCACCAAACTTTCGTGAGGTCATTCGTCGGGTGTTTGTGGGATCGCGCCACTAAGGTGCTTAGAATGAGGGGAGAAATAGTCGAACGGCCCCACCGGTCGCCGCATCACTATTTAAATGCACTCTCCTTTGTTCGAGGCCACGAATGCGTTCCTGTTTTCTTGGAAAAAAAGGGGGGTCCGAAGGCTGGGACAAAGATCTTTATTTCGGCCCTTTGGAACAGACTGGACCTATGAGGGCAAAGAAGCTTTTCCCCTCGACTGAAGCCCATACCCCGAAGCCTTTATAGATGCCCGGCCGATGGAGAGGAGCTGAAAGGTCTCGTCTTTCACCGATCCCGTCCGAGTATGGGGAGATAGCGGCTACGTCCGCCACCTAAGAGACAACCAACTGTCGTTCACCTGAACCCTACCCCTTTGATGAGACACAATGAGTCAAAGAGGCCCAATGAATTGAGCAGTCGTGCTCAACGCACTCGTGAACAGAGGGAAGTGCATCAGGCGAGTGACGAACTGCTCAGCGGTCCTATATCCACTTTCGAAACGCCCAACGAGGCGGAAAGTATTCTCCAGGGAGAATACAGCTAGAAATTGCGCATACTTCACATATATGTGTCGATTACAGACCCCTGCCGCATGAAAGAATCGTTTGAGACGCGACATCGCTGCTGAATATGTTGCAAACTTTCAAGAGTAGTATCGTCCAGGGGATAATCGCTGATCATATACGCGCGGCGTATGGGGTATGTAGCCACTAAGTTGGCAGACAAGGAAATTTCATCATTGCGAGGGATTTGGACACTCCTTGTGATGAGATTCACACTTGTAGGGGGCGTGAGCGGCATGTCGAATCAAAGGTTGTGCTTCAGGAGGATCGAAGAAGAGGGAGACTGGAAAGAGAATAGAAGGTATAGGCTCAAGAGCTAGCGTGGACGGTGGGAGGGCGTGGAAGTGTCCCTTGTCTGCCCAGGTTTCCGAGCGCGATGGCGAACTTTCTAACTTTCGCGCCTGCGAACGAGAAAAAAAAGAGATCAGCACACAGTCCTTGTGAAGTTCGAAAGGACAACTCACGAGATCCAGAGCAGGAGCCTGGCTTCTAGAGAGAATGCCCGCGATTCTTCTGGAGGGTGTTGATAAAGACGATATCGCGGATCGGCGGAAGAGGAGGGAAACGAAGAGGTAGCAGGTTGGAGATAGGTCAAGAACTAGATGAGAGAAAGATCATCGATCAGCGCTAGCGACGAACATGACTAACGACGGGGTGGAGACTTACCACCTCTCTTGCTGTATCCTGCCCTCCCCCCCTAACCAGCCAAGTATACCGTATCCTCGCCACTGGCTCCTTTCGCACCATCTAACACGAACATGCCGACAGACCGCCGAACCACCTCTCTCTCGGCATCCTACACCATCTTCGGCCAATCAGACGTTGAGGCGCGCAAAGGCATTTCCTACTGAATGAACTCCTGGGGACCTTCGGCATTGAGAAGATCGTCCTTTTTCGTTACTGGTGGTGGGATGACGTACCACGACCGTTGTCAATAAGGCCTGAGAGGGACGATGTGCGCCAAATTTGAGTTGAATAACGAGCCTGAACCCACAGCCTACTTGACGAAACACCAGAGGCTGCTCACCAGCTGGATGCTGCCTACGAACTGGACGATGTTAATCTCAGGCGTCTCGAGGCCTCGACATACTGCTTCACGCTCCACGGCTCTTGGGACGTACGATTTGCTTACGGAAGACTTGTATACCCCCGGTAATATCTCCTGAGAGTTGCTGACTCCTGGTCCAGAGCGGCTGTGGGGTAGTGTCGTCGCCGAAGACCAATACGCAGAGAGTTGTGGGAAAATGAGATGGCAATTTCCTCGGCAATACTTAGCCGGCCACACTCTTCGTCTTCTCACGCTCACTCTCTTTCACCCACGCTTTCTTCGTCCGTAATACCACTCATTCTGCTTTGCATTGCCAGGTGAGTTGGTCTATTGACCCAAGTTTCTGTCTCGCCTAATATCAGTCTGTTCTCGGAGTCTTTTAAGTTTTCAATAAGAGAGAGTCTTTCGACACATGTAAAACGGAAGTCAAAATTGAAAGCTATGCTAGCAGTCCACAGATACAGAGAACACGAAAGCTAGAAAGACATTTGAAAGCAAACACCAGATGCGCGCGATAGCAAATTCGAAAGCACGAGAAAAGCGAAACAAAGCAAAGCAATCATAACCGTAGTCCAATCAAAAAAGAAGGGACGTCAACCAAAGCAGCCTGTCTCTCTTCAACCCCGCCTCGTACGCGTCCACGTTATCAAGGCGTTCCTTATCCCCCAATTCGATCGCCTCACTCCTCTCCGAGATGATATACCCACGTACATGCCGCTTGTGAGAATCCTTCCTCTTTCCCAGAAGGCGCGGCTTGGGGCAAGGGCACCGGTACACGGTATCCCTGCACAATACGCGCTGGGGGTTGTGTGCCTTGGCACTCTCCAGGTGACGGACGATGTCCCATTCGGTGTCTGCATAGGTGGGAACGGGGCATATCTTGCACCGGTAGCGTCCGTCGGGAAGGTGAGTGAAGCTGGATGAATGGATAGACGGAGGTGGCGAGGTGGACGATGCGGGCGAGATGTGGGACGAGGAGGAGGCGCAAGGGGAGGACCTTGAGGGAGATGAAGAGGCCATTGATGACCCTGAGGATGCCGGTGAGGGGTCGGCTAGCGCTTGTGCTAGCCATCGGGGTGGGTGTCGCCTGCACCCTCCGGCGCTTCGTGGGCGGCTGTTGTGGGACTGCCGCTGCATCGTCGTCGTCAACCCTTCGTCGAATCACCCCGGAGCCTGAATGAGGGTTTGACCCGCTCGCAGTCGGTTGGACGGGCTCAAGAGCGATGCGATCAAGTTGAAGTGCCAGTGGGACGAAATAAGAGCCCGAAAGATGTGCGCTTGATGAAGAAGATGGCCCGTATGCTGCACCCAGCGCGATGTCGAAGTTGAACTCGGGTGGTGTATGGTTCGGAGTGTTGGTGGGAGGTTGCGTGGGGTAATCGTGAGGAGAGGGATACGGTGGTTGTGCGACACGAAAAGTGAAGTTGGACGTCGGGAAGCCCGTTGGATACACTGCGGTCGCTGCGAAAGAGTCGCCGGCTGTGACACCGCCGGCAGCGGGGAAGTGAGTCTCGTCGGAGACATCAGTCTGGAGTCCCATTCCCATAGGAAGAGATGTCGTCGTATCGTCGTATTCGATCACTGGATGGGGCTGGGCTTCGAATGGAGGGAGGGAGGATTCATTTGCGAGGGACCAGCGGTCCAACGCGCTCTGTCGTCTTCAGTGGCACCGTACGGCCTTGGGTCTTGCAGCTCGTTTGATCCAGATGGGACGTCGTGCATATGCTCTAAGGGTGACTGGGTATAATAATCCGCAGGCTCCTGGATGTCGAAACCTCCGTCAAAAAGGAAGCTAAAGGGACTCTCGCTTCAGGGTCATTAGCTACTGCAAGGGAGAGAGGCGAGAGGAGGCACTCACTTGACTGAATTCCACTCCCCGATGCTGAACGGCTCCAAGAAGTCTTGAGAGGGAGGGAGCAAGGACAGCGAGGCTCCCAGATCCTCTGCAGAGATAAAGACAGAGTGGTGAGGACGTGCGGTGGGAGGCCTGAGGGCCAGTTACTTACTCTAGGCGAACCCGGAACGTTGAACCGCAACCTCAGGCTGAACGCGAATTTATCCACCGCCACAGCTGGCTTATAGCAAAACCCGTGGACGGCAGCCGCGGTAGAGAAACTGGATTGCATCATGTCTGGACGATACAGCGCAGGTGAAGTTTAGAGTATAAGCGAATGACGTTGAAAGAGAAGAGAGACGACGGTACCGACCTATCGTGAAGTCGCACTTGCTCATGCTCATGCTTGCTCGATTTGGAACGCGCCACTGGAAAGTGGGATAAAATCAATCGAATGGCTCCTCTAGTCGGCGCATTGCTGTTTTAAATTTATTCTCGTCTTCTTTGTCCACGGATCTGTTGTTAATTAGTGAATGGAAAAGGCCGGGATGCGGGGACAAAGGTATTTGTTTTGTTCCTTTGGGATAGGCCTGGACCGGGCAGGGCCTACGAGGATAAAGAGGCGTTTAAACGTTTACACCTCGAGTAGCCTTTATAGATCCCTCCCGCTGGCGAAGAGAGGAGCCGGAAGAGACTCTGCTCAAGTACGCGGAGATAGTGAACGCCATCCTTTCCCAGAAACACGAGGAGTCCAAGGAACCCAACGAATTGGGCAGTCTCGTTCGACACACGGGGCAGAATATCATGAATCCAGAGGGGGAAGAAACTTAAGTGCATATATGCGTCGTCAAGGAGAAGTATGACGTCCAATATGCTAGGCTTCTCCATCGACCTCAGTATAAGTTCAAGATCTCCCAACCACGAGAAAGACCCCTCGACGCACCAGCTGGCCACAGACGAGCATGAAAGTCAGATATGCCGTACTCGGTGGGTTTTTCCAGGCCAGAAACCACTATATCTAGAGAGTGATTGCCCTGGAAGCTCACTTCCCTCGAGGCCCATCCTTGGGAAATGTACGACAGCCACGAAGAGGCGTATGACGACACAAGTTCTGAGGCGGCCTATTAGCATTATCGCGAGGGAAAGATCAAGCATTTGCCTTCGGATCCACGAAATTTTTGTCTTTTGGTCCAGACACCAATAAACAATTGCTATATCCAACTCCTGTCTCGTCGTCATCTTGCGGAACCAAGGGTTGTCCAATTCATTCACGAACGTCATAGTTTTGGCACTAGTGGGCTTGGAGGGTGGACGAGGGAATTGCTGCCGATCGCGAGTTGAAAACTTCAAGTTATACTGGGCGATTAATGCCGGGTGATTTTAACCATTGGCTGCAGAGGAAGGGGTCTCGCGATGAAGTGGTCCTCTGGCAGGTACTCCTTGAAAAATAGAGCAGGAGGTATATCAGATACCCTGCGATCCCTCACATGTTGCAATGAAACGCTTGAAAGTGTCCCTATTCGCCTGTCGGTCGAGATCATACGTCCACAGCTTCGGTTGACCGCTGAATGAATCGATCTTGTATAACAGCAACCCTGCCTGAGGCAGCGGCATCATGTCTTCAGCGTTAGCGATGTAGCGGCGCACAGGCTCAAGTAGCTCTAAAATTCTCAAGACGAGAACCGGAGATGACAAGCCGGCATGCTCAGGCAGCGGCGAGAGTTCGAAACGCGCCTTCACTAAACCTGCTCGCCGAACGGACAAATATCGTGTCACCATGAAGCCACAAAGATAAAAGAGAGATATGACCCACCCGCATACGGAGTCACGATGGATGCCCGCGCCGGCTTCGCCTGAAATACGTTGGGCACAGCGACGAATTCGAACATGGAGAGGTTGATGAGCCTGAGACGGAGTGACCTTGAAGACAGATCAGCCACAAACGGCCAATCCAGGGCGTACAGCCGGTGGGAGGTCAGTTTGCGGAGGGAGGGCAACTTTACGATCTGGTCTACAGCCTGTCGGTCGACGAGGCCTTCCTGAATGAGAAGGTCGACTAGAATCTCCCTCTCCTTCGGATAGCGTTTGACGAGGTCGTAGAGGGATATGTTCCAGGGTTCGACACCGTTCGGCGCGAGCAGGTCGGAGCCTTCATGGAAGGAGGCTGCGTTGGGACAGAGGCGGAAGCGAAGATGACCACTCAAAATGGGGTCTCCGGGCGATGGCGAGCAGTAATAGAATACGCCTTTCGTGTTGGGTGGAAATGGGGCCCGACCTCCATCCAGCCATTTGTACGTGATCCGTACGGGGCCGTCCCTCCCGTCTTCCAATCGTGGTCGAACATAGGGACCTGGGCTCCCAGAGAGATCGCGCACTGCTTGTCCCTTCGCTATCATCTTGTCCGGGTGTAGCGTGTGCACGTAGTACGAGTCCGGCCGGGAAGTCTTCCTAATCTCGTTTGGCAACGGAGGCAAGCCGATGAACTCTCTGAGCGCCGGTGCAGATACGCGGTCCTTGAGAGGCAACGACCACGCACAGAACTTTCTATTGCGGAGTTTACACAGCAGTTCTCCGGGGCGGGGGTCTTTCATGATCCCCGGAATGTGACATTTGATGGGAGTCAACAGCTCCAGGACACGTAGAACGAGCGTCGGTCCTTGGGTAGCGTGTTCGGGGAGAGTGGAGAGCTCGAGGCGCGCCTTGATGCGTCCTACGAGCGTCAGCAAGGTCAGCACATCTAGTGAGAGGACTCACCTGTGAATGTGGGGCCCTGCATCCGCCTACGAACGCACAATTCCTTGATCACCAGCTGCATAGCGACCCCTGGGTTGAGTAAAACAAATGAGTGTGAAATGTGTGCGAGGTTGACTTCGAATGGCTGATCGAGGGAGTACAGTGTCCCTGAACTGTTGGATCGCTGCATAATTATTCGAGGTAGACGAGCAATATTATCAGATATAGCAGGCGACACGAGGCCTTCGCGAACGAGCAGCTGGCCGAGCGTTCGGTATCCAGGCATCCTCATCATCGCATACAGGTTCAGCGACCATGGTCTATCCTCATCACGGAGCTGCAGGTCGGGAGAGGTTGCGAAAAAGGCGAGGTCTGTGCACAGCTTGAAGCGCAGCTCGCCGCTAAGGACAGGTGCCCCAGGGGGTGGTGGGCAATAGTAGAACACGCCTGTCGATCCAGGCGGAAAGGGAACGTGTCGAGCGTTTTTGATCATGTAGTAAACCCGGAAAACTTGAGGCGGCTTCAACTTTGTCGCCGGGCACCGAGCACCACTGTAGCCTGAAATATCATACGTGCGTTGGCCGGAGAATTGTATCTTTTCAGCATCCAATGTGATGATTTCGCGATGTTGTTTTGGTATAGGTTTCTTTGGCCGGACTCTCTAGCAAACAATACAGAAATCTGTTCACGACAGCCATGGATGAACATACTGCAATTGATTCTGTCGAATATCCCGAATGACTCTTGCTACTCCCCCAGAATCCGTCGGCGATGTCCGTTCTTGAAGGCCTGTCAGAGTTCCACAACCGTGCAGGGCAGTTGGGGAGACCAAATCGGAGGCATCTTGCCAATGCCTGATGCATGCAATCCGTCTGCACTGTCGGCATCGGACGCGAGATCGTTCGATAGTGCGATTATTGGACCGTTCGAAGGCCGTACGACGTAGCAAGAGAGCGAGTTCTCCGTTAAAGTTGTGGTTCAAGCTCAAGTTGAGGCAGACCAGGTCCGACCTGCAGCCTGCAGGGCGCCTCAACTCAAACTCGTGATGATACTCGATCACGTGTCTATCTTGTCACGAACGCGAGGTGACGCGTCGCGCGTCAGGGGCCGGAGAGTCAGCAACTCGCTAAGCGTTTCTCCACATATTCGATTCCTTTACTATCCCACACTACCTGCACATTTCAGATTCCTTCATCGGCCGGAAGAGGACAAACGCTGCACGCCTATTTGGCTATCGCAGTCAACCTCGAGAGCAGCCCATTCAATTGAAGGTTCGCGCTCGGTGTCGGACCCAATGAATTTCGGCGAGTCTTGACTTCGCTCTTATGCCCGGCCGTCACATCTTCTGTTTCCCGTAAAGCACGGCCGCATTATTAATTCTCTCTGTGGCTTTCCGGAATATTCTCTGAATAGTGACGGTGCATAGCAGGACGATACTTTCCGCTAAGGACGAAGGTAAAGACGCGAGTTAAGGTCGCCTTATAGCAAACTGTCCGGCTCTGTAATTCACCTCCCTCTCTTCGTTGGTTACCAGCTGCCCGTCGTCTTCAAAATTTCGGATGGTGGTAGTAACTCAACAGGGAATGTATATCGTACGTTAAATGATGTAAATGTAGATAATGCGGCATACCCAGTCGTGAATGCTCACGTCGAACGGCTGTCCAACGGTGAGTTGGTCTATTAACCCAAGTTTTTGTCTCGCCTAATATCAGTCGATCCTCAGAGTCATTCCAATAAGAGTCTTTCGACACACGTAAAACGAAAATCAAAATTGAAAACGATGCTAGTAGTACACAGATACAGAACACGAAAGCTGGAAAGACTTTGAAAGCAAACATGAGATGCGACAGCAGATTAGAAAGCATGAGTAAAGCGAAACAAAGCAATAACTGTAGTCCAATTGAAAAGGAAGAGACGTCAAAGCAGCCTGTCTCTCTTCAACCCCGCCTCGTACGCGTCCACGTTATCAAGGCGTTCCTTATCCCCCAATTCGATCGCCTCACTCCTCTCCGAGATGATATACCCACGTACATGGCGCTTGTGAGAATCTTTCCTCTTTCCCAAAAGGCGCGGCTTGGGGCAAGGGCACCGGTACACGGTATCCCTGCACAATACGCGCTGGGGGTTGTGTGCCTTGGCACTCTCCAGGTGACGGACGATGTCCCGTTCGGTGTCTGCATATGTGGGAACAACGCAGATTTTGCACCGGTAGCGTCCGTCGGAAAGGTGACTGAAGCTGGATGCATGGATAGAGGGAGTTGCCGAGGACGAGGAGGAGGCGGAAGGGGAGGACCCTGAAGGAGATGAAGAAGACATTGACATCGATGACCCCGAGGATGAGGGCCGGCTAGCGCTTGTGCTAGCCACCGCGGTGGGTGTCGCTTGCACCCTCACCCTCCGGCGCTTCGTGGGCGGCCGTTGTGCGACCGCCGCTGCATCGTTGTCGTCAACCCATCGTCGAATCACGCCGGAGCCTGAATGTAGGTTCGACCCGCTCGCAGTCGGTTGGACGGTCTCAAGAGCGATGCGTTCCAGTTGAAGTCCCGGCAGGACCAAAGAAGAAGCGGGCTCAGGCTGGTGTATACTTGAGGATCCAGAAGCCTGAGCGATGCCGACGTCGTACCCAGTCGGCGTATTGGGGCCAATATATGTTGGATAGTTTGAAGTAATAGCTGTCGGAGGCTGTCCAGGGTAATAGTGATGAGACGGATAGGCTAGTTGCGCCACGTCAAAGGTGAAGTTGGAAGATGGGAACGATCCCATGGGATGTGTGGAAGTTGGGGGCGCAAAAGAATTGTCGACCGTGACAATGCCGGGGACGTTAATGTCATTGGATGCAGTAGGATGAAGTCCCATCCCGAGTCCCATCCCCATCGTAATAGACGCCGTCTCTTGGGCGTATTCCGGTTCCGGAAAAGGTGGTGTCGCGAAGGGAGGCATGGAGGAAGAATGCAGTGTTGAGGGCCCAGGGGCGCCATCGGCCAAGGATAGAGCATGGCGGTCGTCGCCGTCGTTCGATTGTGCGACCTCAAGGGCATTGAGGAGCTCGGGCTCGTGTGCCACGGGCTCTTGGTCAAAAAATTCGGAGAAGAGGTGTCCAAATTCGTTCTCGCTGGTGGATCTTTAGTCACGGACGGCGAGAGAGGAGAGGGAACGCTCACTTCGAAAACTGCCACTCTCTGATGTCGAACGCCTCCAAGAATTCTTGAGAGGTAGGGAACAAGAAGTCCAAGGTCACGAGTTCATTGGAAGAAATGAAGAGATTGGAAGACATCTTCGGCCTGAGGAGGGGGTTGAGAGGAGAGAGGGAGGAGGTGGGACGCTTGAGTGAACTGGCGGTAAGGGAGAAACGGTGAATGTTCTGAGGACCGCCAAAGCGCTGCTATATAGCAAAGCGCGAACGCGAGCCACTCGTCAAAAAGGGGCGAATGCGCGTTCAATCGCACCGCACGGCCGTTCGATCTCACGGTCAATCCCATTGTTCAACGACTAGAGAAAAGGTCAGATAGAACAAAATGAAATGGCAAAAGTGTCTGTGCAATTTTCGTCCGAATGGGGGTGCACTGTGAGTCAGGAGCGCACTTCAGGTGGGGAGCGTCGGGTGGTCGATGGGCCAAAGCGCCACATGAGGTGTTTGCTCGGCGCTTCACGGGATCTGGCCTATCCATGGATATGTGGAGACGTTAGGGTCACTTTGAAGCGTTGTGGGTTTCTACGGTGCTGAATGGAAGCCATTAGTCGATTGGCCAAAGCACGACCGTCCGAATCCCGGCATCCTGTGTTGAGTCCGGGCTTATCTACACATTTGCACAGATGGAAACGAGCTCACTTAGGAGCGCTTGCAACGTTGCTGGCTTTCCGGATAGAAGTGCCGATGCTGGCATGGAGTCCCGCTTTCATTAGCCCGCGTCACTCGTGCGCTATCGAAATCGGCGCTCGGCGCGCTTCTCCCCTACCTTCCAGAAAATCCAGAAAACGGGAGATCGCTTGCTTTTGCGAGGAGTCGAGGACTCATACCTAAGACTCATGGAATTTAGCGCAACCCTGAATCACCGCATACAGGAGGGCAGGACGCACTGGTTCCGTTGATCCGCGCTGCTCGATGGGGATCTCAGGCACCGAGGCAACAAGTAATTTGCCGGCGGCGAGGACGCCTAATCGAAGTCAAAATATGCGACGATCCAGTAGGAGCCTGACCCTGACAAAATGATGAGCTTTCGTATCCAAGACAAACAAAGATACTTCCCTCATTGGGAAATTCCAGAGAGAGATTGGGTGCGAGATCTCGAAGTCCCGGTGTGCAACGTCGAGGCCCAGTACACGAAGCGCGAGACGTACGCGTGTCCATGCGATCCGGGGAAGTTTCCACAGGAGGAGCCGAGGGTGATTACGTGGGTGAAAAATACGAGGTAGTCTGTAGGAAGCGGTTGAGAAAGAGGATATGGAGCGTGTTGAAGCTTGATTTCAGGGCTCGACGAGTATCCGGAGACGGGAATGATGGCGAGGCGCTGTGGATGAAAAGGGTCGTAAGATTGACAACGAAAACGAGGACCAGAAAGTGTACGACGATGGCGAAACGAAAAGGAGAGAAGAATGAGGAACCGTATGACTTCACCTGAGCACAATAGTTCGATTTTGTGATGATAGTGTCTTCGCCTTTGATCTTAACTCGAGTTTCGTGCTCGAGATTTTCATGTATCTTTATATCGGAAAACTGCCTTTAAATTCAAGTAGGAGAGGAATGCACCTTTTATTCCCACTCGTGTTCCCCGAAATCGGCTTTCCTCGAGGCTTTCCCTCATGACCTCTGACATTTTGATTCCCTTTATCTCAACGGGGTGGTCCGATGTCCCTCTTTCATGGGTCAATTCGTTGTATGCGCTGGTATTTGGTTGTGTGCTGTGGACGCGGTAAAAGACTATCACCTCACTATTCTAAGCAGGCCCTCGCCTTCAATGCTGAGACTGTCTTGCTCGTGGATTCATGTAGGTTTTCAGTGAAAAGCAGGAGGTGGAGAAGAGGATATTCGGGTGGAAGCGGTCATACGTGGTTCGTGCCTAGTGGAAGTTCATCTTTATCTTATCTTATCTCACCCAGAATGTCCACGAAGCCCCTGACTTAAAGACGGCGTAAGTATTACAACTGACAGTTGTCTTACTGGAGCTTTCTCTTGCTAATTACGTGTTTTACAGCATAGAAAGGTTGGCCTAAACCAAAGCGGCAATCGACCTCATCGAATTGTAGCAAAGAATAGGGCGATAAATTGGAAGTGGAAAGTGACTGGTCGCTCTTCTTGACCGTGAATCGCCAGTGCAAATTCAAATTGCGTACTGGAAATTGAGATCCACAAGAGCTTATATACCAGATCGAATGAAGCTTACTCAGGTTTTTGCCTATCCTTCAAAGGCCTTCGGCAGGCCGAATCGGACCCCTGTGGGCGTCTATCTATACGTGACAAGATAAGATAAATTGAGATCGAAGACTTCCCACGCTGTTCAATCAGCTCGAACTCCATCCGTTCTGCAAGGCGCGCGTAGATAAACCAATATGTAGGGTATATTAGAACGTAAACACAGTCTCCTTCAAAGAGCGCCCGCCATCGATCACTGCCGCAGAAAGATGGCGCTCCCCGAAATGATTGAATTGAGGAGTACAATCCATGTCGGAAGGGTCTCATCAACTGTGTCGCATAGAAGCTCCTCATACAACCCAGAAATGTTATGCTAACGAGTACATGGCCGATGAATCGGACTACCTAATGGGATTGAAAGGCTGTAGCAGCGTTGTGCCACTGAGTGGACAAATGCTTACCGGAACGCAGTTCCCATGGGACGAAGACCTAGATCTGGTTCCATTCAGCAAAACAAGACGTCAGAGACCAACCTAGCATCTTCACATCCAGAAATTGAGTAACGCATACAGAGTCGCGCTTGCGTCATGATTGGATGAGACGAATTATGACAGAGCTCCTGGCAACACAGGAAGGGATGGAATCGAGTCACCCTCTTTAGCCACATCACTTAACGGGCGATACCACCGAGGGTTGACAAAAGAGAAGAGCGGTAAATGAATGCGTAAGCGAGGCGCGAACAATGTGAGCAGAGTACGTCCCTGAATCGACATATCTGACCCATTGGGAAACCTAGCACCTTATTGGGATTCAGATGCATAGATCTCGGAGCGCGGTGCGACTCTGCGAAGATATAAAGTGCGCGTTCGGTGGACGGGGGCGCCTCTCAGAATCTGAAGCCTCCCTACCTACTACCCAACCATTCCTAACGCTCTTCCTCCGTCCCTTTTAACTCCTCATTCCAACAATGAACCACTTCACCACGCCTGCCGAAGAACTCGCCGCACTTCTCTTTCGTGGCGCGCCAACATCGGAGGGCTCAGCTGTTGTCCTTGACTCGAAGGCGAGGGAAGACTTAAGCGATTTGGCCCACAGGTGAGTTTAAACTCTTCTTTTTATCGCTCACACTCATACTATTTTGTCTTCAGTCTGGCTACCCTTATTTCCTGCGACAGCTCAGGCGATGCTCCATCCCGACCTTCGACTCATGCCACCACGACGACATCTGCGGCCGCTGGCTACGATGCCACACCATCGTGTGAAGCACCTCGCGTAGCCTTGGATTCGCAACCTCTCGTTCTGTCGACCGCGCCTGCTGTTCCTGTAAACGAAGGTCTTTCGATGTATCCGGCTACTAGGTGCGCCGATTAATTCAGCATTTCCTACAATTAATGCTAATTACTGCTTTTCAATAGCTCCTACTACCGCGCTCACACCTATAGCTACGACATATCCCTTCCTTCCACCCATCACGCTGCACAATTCCCTTCGCAAGCGACTGGATTTATGACACCGACACGCTACGCCTCAGTGCCGTTCACGTTCGAGATGGCTGGCCCATTTGTGTCTCAACCGCTTCCACCTCCTCCTTCGAATTCCTCGGCAACTGAGGAAGAAGACGAACCGCCCACGAAGAAGCCACGCCTGAGTCCGCTTACTTCTGACGAGATCTACAAGGCAGATGGTCGATACCACTGCAGGCTCTGTGAAGCGCGTCAAGGTGCGCATACCACGAGCCGGTATGGTGACATGTATCGCACATCCGTGAATCAGGAAGACACGGTGGCGAGCTCGGAGGGGTCTGGTGTACGGAGGAATTTGAGTGCTTTTGCACGACGCCGGTCAAGAGAAGGCGCGATTCCACCAAGCGCCACGCGTTAGGCTACGCGCTCACCCAGCTGAAGGATGCTCGTTACAAGAACGATCACGCACGGGTTGCGAGATGTAGGGCATATGTGCTCAAAGGAGTGAGCAAGGGTTGGTGGAAGAGGAATATGCTCAATAAGGAGTTAATTCAGAGAAAGATGACTCTTTGATTTCGTTTTCTTTACTTATTTCACTTATTGTACCACAACGGGCCTGTAGGCATGTATGTTCCGCTTTCGATGATGCTTTCGTCTCTCTTGTTCTCTTGTTCTAGCTTTCATATATCTTGCTTTCTGTATTTTCGTATTCCAATATCATCGCTCTCGTACCCCATTTCAGAGGCCCCAAAAATTTTATTCTCATCGTGACTCGGACATCAGCCACGTTTAACAAGACCCGCGATGATTAAATAGCGTCCTGAATTCCCACAAGACAGTGGCAAGATAAATAGAGCTTTCCCCCCGCCCATGATCCCAGACGTCCTGGGGATACCTTCCCGAGTCTGTTTGGTGAGAGGTTTCCTGAACGGTACCCCTCTCCGAAAAAAGTCTGACGATTGACTGATCTCCGGACCGCAGCCCGAAACTCTATCGTCCAAACCGCATTCTCATGAATTTGTGATTTGTGAAAGGGAGAACTCCACCTAATCGGAGTAAACCGAAGAGGCCGGGCCCCGAGGTACGGGCAGCCGGGAGTGAGCCACAAACGAGAATGCTCGTCCAATCAAATCACAGGTGTTCTTCCCGTGCCCGGGCCACACTTCTGATTGGCCCATGGAAGCGAGCTTGCTTTGTCCCGTTGCCACGAGAAACCAGGGTTCACGAACGGAAGGCCACTCGTTCTCGCAGAGCGTGCGCGAATCGCTTTGACGGAGCGCTATCGCCCCGCGCTGCCAAATCTAAATGACGACGTCCCGGGGCGAGTACCGCACCCCTACTGAAGGCCTAGAAAAAATCGTAGAAAATCTCATTTCTTAGCTGGAGGAAGATCGGGCGCCTGTGAATTCGGGAATTGCGCCCATAAATCCAAATGATTGCATACAAGATCGCCGGTCAGTGATCCGTTCTCGACCTAAATCGGCATTTGCCTCGATTCGGGGATTGAAAATTGGCCTGTAGCCGAGATCTCGGCTCACATCATGGTGCTCCTGATGCGTATCTTGAACAATGGGCTCGCGTAAATGATTCCGGTAAGCCTGAGGAGACGATATCGCACAGAGCTGGGCATAGGAAACGCACGCGGAGCTATAAAATAGCGGTGGACTGCTTTGACGCCCCCCGAGTTTGGCCCCCACTCAGTCTCGCCACTCATCCAATCTCTCTATTTTCTTATCTATTTTCTTTGCGCGGCAAATAATGTCGACCACTCCGTGAGTAGATATACCACTACGCTGCACGCCTTCACACTGATCTGAATATTACAGAACTACATCTACTAAGCAACCCGGGTATTTCTTGCCAATCCCACCTCCTTCCCCATTCTTCCCCGTCCTTCCATCGACAATCCCACGAACTCCCATCCATGCTCCGTTCAGCTTCGATGATCCCTCCCCTTCATGGGAGCTCTTCCCCATCTTGGATGCTTGGGGTAACGCAAGTCAGCAAGAGTCGCACCCGTTTTTGTACTCTCCAGCCTCTGCCGAAGTCCAGGGAGACATACAAAACGTCCCACAAACCCCGAAGAAGCGCAAGAGGCGCACCTCGAGTCCATCGCCACGATTCGGATCCTTCACCCAGCTCACCCAGCGCCGTCGTGCCTTCGAGAAAATGCAGAACCACATTGACGCCTTCAGACGGCAAAACCCCGTTCCCAGGAACAAGAGGCCGGTATCTCCCTTCATGTCCCCTTCACCATCACCTGAGCGCCCGCAAAAGAGGGCACGATCAACAGCCTCACGAGCCACAACCTCCCATCCCATCATGCTTTCATCAGAAACATCCGTTGGACCCAGCGTGGACGCGTTCCTTCCCTCCGGAACCGTAGAGCCAGCCACCCCCTCCTTCGCTTTCCCTTTGGACGACGAAGGCTACAGCGAGGAAGTTGAGCAAGTCGCCAACAACCACGAGAGAAACTCTGGGAATGGCGACGACGGCGAGGAAGAGGAGGAAGGAGACGCGGCCAATCTTGGATATGAGAAGGTGTCCTCCGAGTCGGGTCGGTATCGATGCAAGACGTGCACTAACCCCCAAGTTTACGCAAGGACAAAGAAGGAAATAGAGCGTCATCTCAAAACAGCTGAACCGCATTGCCCGAAAGTGCGCTGCAGCCAGTCCGTTTTTAGATGCCCGTGCAAGAAGAATAAGGAGCTGTGTAATAGACACGACGCCTTCAAACGCCATGTCAAGCTCTATATCGCGGCTGAAATGAGGGCAGGTTCCAATCCAGGACAAGAGGCGCGACTCGACGCCGTGTTGGCATATCAGGCTTGGCTGAAGGGGCAAGGGTTGCTTTGATTAGTTGCTATCTTATTTGTGTTTTCTTCGTTGTTCGTGTTCTCGCTAGTGCTATGTATATTTTGCTTTCGTAGTGTTTGCTTTCCATGTCTCAACAGTGTAATATTATATTGATTGATTCTTCCATCATTTCTAGCGTGTGCGATATGAGCGCTTGAGCGCCAAAGAAGGGTTACATATGCTGCAACCGAAAGGCATTGACCAATAGAACGCCTTCCGATCATCGTCATCGTTCTTCCCCGATGCTAAGCCCAAAAGCGGGGACAAGGTTGTCGCTCCAGCTACTTCGTACTTGCCCACATATGTCATCAATTTAACGCTCATGCCGGTGCTTTGAAGGACCGCCTCCGAAGGTATCGAAGGAAGGATTCGCCCGTGTACGGATCCAAAATGTCACCATCTCTGAACTTTCCTCTACTCGAGCGTTATCCGAGGTGAAGCAGATGCGAAACGCATCGTCGTTGTCCCTGAGGAAGGCTTGAAGATAATATAATAATGTCAGACACTCTAAGAGAGGATTAAACATCTAAGTGACACGTACCCGAGTTCGCCTCGATCTAGGCTTTATCAACGGCAGTCAAAGATAGATGACCTGAAGGCCTCAGGCACGGTCTTCTCCCACTTCGACAGTGACATTTTCTGGGACGTCGTCGATCCAAATGAGCAGTGGTGTGTGCTCGTCATAGTCGGGCACCGATCCGATCCAAGCTTCGGATGGTGGGGCAGGCTTTTTGCCTACAGGATAAGTTAGACAACGAAAAAGAGTCATACGACGCCCTTGAGATGTCATTCAGATCGGCGAAATGGACCCCGCGGTGCATAAGAGTGTTTAAGGCGCAAAGTGCAACTCAGAGACGGCGAGACACATCTAGGCCCTACAACCTACAGAACGTTAGAGAGACAAGCAGAACAAGGCTTAGATCACGCACGATCATGTAGCCAAAGACCTTTTTGGTGCAAATGTAAGTGAGATTCGTGGTATGTATTCGCGACAGCTGTCTGGCTGACTTCGCATTGAGACCAAACAGGCCCGATATTTTTATCTCGAACAAGTCAAGAGGTTACGTGAGCGGGAGCTTAGGAGCACGTTTCGCAACAGTGACGGACGTTGCATGAGATATAACCGAGGTTCGAACAGCAAAACGTGTTCATAAATAGGACATTGGTGCCAGGTCGAAGGTTGAGTAGAGATGCAAGATGCCCGGAGGTGAAGCAGAAACAACCGCGATAAGTCGGGGTCAAGTCCGGCAAGAGCGGTCCTCGTTTGGAAATCTTGGGATTAGAATCATGCTGCAGGTCACCTTCGTGAACGAACACAGAGTGGCATGGAAAGGACATCAAGAATATCATCGTTGGATCTAAATACATTGCCATAGATTAGACAGTCATCAGCTCGAATTATTAGCAAAGACCAATGCCAGAAAAACTCATGAGGTATTCTTCTGTTTCCGAACATGCTGCTTTCTCCTCCTCTCCTCGCCCTCGCCATCTCTGCCAACTTCTCATCCACTCTCATCACCAGCGCCGTATCCTCCTCCACCTACACGCTTGTCGTTCATCTCGTTCTCATACTATTCCATCCTCACCCTACCCTCATCCCGGACGATGCTTGGTGTAAAACGGTGCGATGAGCCACTTCTCCGGTCTTGAAAGGCCCAACAGCCCGCGCCTCAGGAATGGATATGGACAAGCGGAGAACGTGGATGTGGTGCACTGTCCGCTCGATTAACGAGCGGGATGGTGATTCTTGGCGATCGCGAAGTTTATAACGGTCAACGAGAACGAGGCTCGATCAGCATGCAGGTCTCGCGAAGTTTGAATGAACATGCCACAGAATTTAGAGCAAGGGCTGTACGTACGGCGAGAAGTTGAGGTTCGTTGGTGCGGATGGACTAAGGAACGTGTTCTCTGGATCGAGGTCGTCCTTTATTTGACCCAAAGCACCAGGGGTAAGTTGCTACTGTTGGTCGTTGAGCGTTGATGCAAAGCAGAGAGGATGATCGCGACACGTTCGGGGCAACGAAGCCGCGGGATACAGGAGACATCGTTCAGACCATTAAGACAGTGATGTTGGAAACTTAAACCTTCGCTGAGGGTCACGGAGATGGACGTATTTCTTCCATCTTGTCCATCTCTCTCGAGCAGTTCAGACACGTCCATTGAGAAAAAAAACTCGCGGGTTACAACATAGACGACAAGAAGGCTGGATGACAGAAATTTTATAACCGAGTAACGAAGGACGAAATGATCATGGTACGCACCTGCTATTTTCCAGGCCTAGTTTGGCCCACCCCCAACCACTTCTCCGTCTCTTACAATTCTGCACGTTCATCGTGACTTCGGAATAAAGCAACAGGTTCTACGAATGATACACGCATGAGCATGATCGATGAGTGGAAGGTCCTGAAAAAGGAACGACACTTACACAGAAATGCAACAGGCCCTTCGTAGTCTGGCCCAGTGGTCGCGAACTGCGATAGCTAAATCCAGAACGAGATGTCAGTTTAACTTCCCATGGGACGGTCATATGTCGATCGCCACCCTGTCCAGCCTATCTTCGTCATGAAAGAAAAAACCCTGAGGGTCGTAATCTGCGGGACACGTTCATGTCAGAACTAAAAGCGAGAGAGAGGAGCTCAAAACGAACCAGAGCCCACCAGACTCCCGTTGAGCCAAATTTCCCGTAACAACGCCTTCCTTAAAACCATCCATAGATCATTGAGAGGTTCCAAAGGGCCCGCCGTAATCCTACATCACAGCACCGACTGACATCGAGAGACAGAGGTGGGGTCCGAGTATCGAAACCATGCCAGCGAAGCGCAAACGCTGAGCGTTGAGAGGGCTAGTCATGGTTACTCGCTCTTGGGACCAATCCGTCTACGCATACTGATACGTATTCGAGTTGCAAGATAACGGATTGCAGATATCGTGCTGCCGTTCTTCCCATTTCATTGTACGATATAAGTAACAGTGAAGGGTTATGAAACGAAGGGAAGAGAAGTTTATAAAGTCATAATAAGTAGCCCTAGTTTGAAGTCCTCATAATATAGCTCCTTCGCATCAGCACCGGAGCCCTCTCCCGTCGATCAAGCAGCGCGGCGAGTC